TTTTTCAGTATATGAAAACATCATGTTCCATTAATGAACGAATGGAAAATAAATTTGTTTATAACACCAACCAAAATATAGAATTGAAAGTCCTATTTCATCCTACAAGTTTTGTGGAGCTACACTCAAAATTACGATTAGTCTCTTATTCCTAGACCTGACTCAAGTAATTTCAGCCTAGGACGTACTTCTGGTGTAGTGATATTATACCGATATTTCCTTGAGTCTCTCCCAAATACATAGGGTCAATCCTGGAAATATTCTTATACCCACCACCATCAAGTATCTCCATGGTGATAAAACAGTGAAGGAGTATGTCCAGTCCTTGCCATCAAATACGAGTTGACAGGGTCTACCACTGGGAATCAGAAAACCCTGAATGCAACCTAGTGGTTCATATAACATCCAGCTGAAAGATTTTGAGGTCGGTCAGTTAGTGTTTACATGTGGTAAAGATCACAATTCAATAACTGATATCATCTTGGGGCCCTCGAGATAATTGGAATCAATAGTTACAGATTCGTGTTGAAGTGGCTAAAAATCGGTAGCAATGACGTAGATGTATTCAATTTTTGATATCTTTTAAAATTTTCAAACTTTCGTTGATTTCTCCTTTCACACACTTTAGACTATGTTAGTGTCCACTTATTCTATCCACTTCTTTGCACGCTTCTGTGAAGCGTTAATTCGTTTGTCTCTCTTGAACTACCTATTCCATAAACATATGCTTTATGAGCGGCTTTTCTGCCGTGAATTGTTTGCTAGCCCTAAAAAGTGGTTTATAGGCAAAAACGAAATTAGTCTAAGACGTTGTGCTGCAGGGTGAAGTATAACTTTGTTGAGTTGGAATCTGTTGATGTGCCATGAGGGGTCCAGGTGATTATTCAACTCAGTGCTTCTAGGCATTATAGGTTTACTGAAAAGTAAAATTAAAGTAGCAAACACCTCAGTAAATATATCTTTTGTTTGACTCTTTCTTTTACATTGTTTAATGCTTTTAATTGGTACATTTCTGAGCGATTATTCCGTATTAAGTTTGCGTTATTCAAAAATAAATAATATCTATCATTCCACCGATTTCGGTGCATAAATGATTTATTCCCATCTGTTGGTGAGTTAGCACATTCGCCTCTTGCACAAAGTGAGAAAAACTCTTGTCTTCGTGGTCATAAAGGCCAAGTGCAGAATAGTGCTTGAAAAACAAGGAAGTCCAACAGGAAAAATTAGTAACGAACTTCAGTAGGCAACTAGTATAGAGCTTATATAAATTCTCATAAAAAGTTTTTCTTCACAAAAGACTTCAGTTAGAAAATAATCAATTTCTCTTGAGGGTTCATAAATCACTTTAGTAAGGGCGAAAATCATAATGCTTAGTCACAGATAAAAACCAAATTACAAAGATAATTACCGACATTTTACTTATTTAGGAGTGGCTTTAGGAATGTTTGTAATTTGATAATATGCCTTAAGTTATGACAGTGCCAGACTAGTAAGTGAACTGAATAAAATGAACAACCAGACCAGTCATGGGCTATGGGGTTATTATCTTTCTAACCCACAAAGAAATCATAAGCTAAAGCCAGCTTTGCGAAACATACTTAAAGCTGAACATCACTGCCACTTCTTTAGGTATATATTTCATCGCATTCTATGGGATTTCAAAGAATGGATATGATATGCGGAAATAAAGTTGCTTTTTTTATAGATTGAAGTCAGCTAAAGAGTGTGAAAAGATTAAACATATGTTTCGTCGTGATACGAAACGGGTATCTATAGTATCAACTAATTCGTGTATGATGATGGATGCTCGTCGTTGACATTGGATGACGGTGGCGTTACACCAAGAATCGATAGAAGTTAGGAAATGTGAATCCTAACCAAATGGTTGAATGGTAGTCCTAGGTTCGACCCTTTACACAATTTTGGGTAGATGATGCCGAAGAGTCTCATAGTAGGGAGAAACAGATACCCAGCACCCCTAATGTTCCAGCTGGCATCATTCAGTTAAAATAACTACTTTTAATTCCAACAGAATCATAGAATTAGGTTTCTACTGCAATTCACAAGTATGTCTTGGAGCACAGTAAAACTAGAACACTGGACAAGATCATATGACCTAGTCTCAGAAAGAATAATTTACCAACACATTTAAATCAAACCAGAAAAGAGAACGTGCTCAAGTATTTTAACTTCAACAGAACCCTTTAGACAAATGATTTATTTAACTTCCAGTTTAGTATTATAGTTGAAAATAAAGAATACCGATTCCATTTAGGTCTGTTTATTAGAAATGGAATTACAATCTAATACAGTGCCTAAGTTTTACTTCCATATTATTGAAGAGTACCGATTCTGAAGCACACATTACTACTCTGCTTTTTACATAGTTATCAGGTTACAGATGTTGTCCTTAATTCTACAACGTTATTTTTCAATGCCCTCTGTACTAGATTTTCTTTAATAGGATATAAAAATCGGAAACCGAAGATTGGAAGTACAACAAATTATCGGCTAGTTCTACCCATTGTGGCGCAGATTTCCAAAACATTAGATTGAAGAATGTTCCTCTTTGAAAATTTTAAAAAGAACTAGATATCATTTAGGCCGAGACTGGTTCGGCTTGACAGTGAGTTGCAACCACTGTCCTCTAAATTACACACAATGTGAAACTACTGCATGTAGTAAATGTTTTCCTCCTCCCATGTCAACTTTGACTTCCCAACACAACCTATAAAAGACTAGACAAAGAAGTAAAGAAGAGTGTGCGCAAAGACAATAGACACTTCCACGACACACTGGCAAGTGAAGCAGAACAGGCTGTAGGTAGGAGAGACCTGACATCATATCAAATAACCAGGTTACTATCTCAGACGAAACCAATGAAAGATAGTGAAGGGAACTTAGTCGCCACCAAAGAGGAGAAACAAAGGAAAAGATGGGCTGACCACTTCAAAAAGCTCTTGAATCGACCACCACCAACAACTCGTCCAGAAATACCACCAGCAACAGCAGAACTACCAGTGAACACAGGCCATCCGACAAAAGCAGAAGTCCTGAATGCCACAAAACTGCTGAAATTCGGGAAAGCAGCAGGACCAGATGGGATCCCCCCAGAAGCACTGAAACAGATGCAGAGGCATCAGCAACGGACATACTCACACCACTATTACAGAAGGTTTGGAAGGAAGGAAGGAAGGGAAGGTACTTGCAGATTGGAAGAAGGGTTACCTTGTCAAACTTCCAAAGAAGGAAGACCTAAGTCTTGGCAAGAACTGGCGAAAAATATTAAGCCATTTCATCTTAGAGGGACTAAAGCATGTACTGGATTAAAAATTGCGACCGGAACAGGCTGTCTTCAGGAAGTACAAATCATGTGCGGATCTAATTGCAACGCTACGCATCATCATAGAACAAAGTGTAGAATGGCAGTCAACCCTCTACCTCAACTTCATCGACTTTGAAAAGGCTTTTGACAGCATCGACCGAGAAGTAATTTGGCAGGCAGCTGCTTAAACACTACGGTTTTAGTGCCACAAATCTTCACCAACCTCATTCAACAGCTGTATGTCGAGCTATATGCCAAGTGATCCACAATGGAAAGCTCATCAATCCCTTTGAAGTGAAGACAGGAGTGAGACAAGGTTTCCTACTATCACAGACGATCTTCCTGACTGTGGTGGACTGGATCACGCAACAAACCGTGAGGAGCGAGAAGCAGGCATACACTGTCTGAACGATGAAAAGAGCCTAGAAGATTTGGATTTCGCCGATGATGATTTATGTCTAATGCCTAAAGCGCACAAACTCAAAGATCTACAGGCGAAAACTAACAAGTTGGCAGAAGAGGCAGGGTAGCGAAGACGGAACATCAGATGAACGCAAGGAAGATAAAGGTGACGAAGATGCCCAGCCAACAACAGCATCAACAACAAGCACCAATCACCATCAGAGGCAGAAATCAAAAGGAAGTTGCCTCTTTCATCTACCTAGGCAGCATCGTTTCAACTACAGGCGGCACAGATGAGGATGTCAAAACCAGGATCGGAAAAGACAGCAAGAAAGGCCTTCAGTAATCTGGAATCAGTGTGGAAATCTACTGCACTCAGCACAGAGAACAAGATCCGGATTTTCAACACCAATGTCAGATCAGTGCTGCCATGTGGTTCAGAAACTTGGCGCGTCACGAAAAGCACTTCCAACAAACTACAGACATACATCAACAGCTGCCGCCCACACTCACTCGATACTGAAGATCAGATGGCCAGAAAGAATAAGCAACAAGGAACTCGCCCTGGCAACCCGCCAACCAAGAGCCCATCGCCCAACAAATATGCAGAAGAAAGTGGAGATGAATTGCGTTGGGCATACACTGAGAAGGCCAATTAGGGACATCACGCGCCAGACCAGGCCCTCGAGTGGAATCTAAAGGGGAAATGACGAGTTGGGCGTCCGAGGAGAAGGTGACATGGAGCAGATCATATGAGGAAGAAATGAAAGCTTATGGGCAGTCGTGGAGCCAGGTTCAAAAGACTGCGGAGAACAGAGTGAAATGGAGACGTGCTGCTGAAGCCCTATGTTCCACTAGGAATCCAAGGGACAAATAATAAAAATACATTTTATATTAAAAAGTTGAAATTTATAAAAGTCAGTCGTAATGATGATAATTACACCCTGCAAAAATCAGTACTATACAATAAGCATAAAAGTAATCCTAATATATTTAAATAAAGAAAATGAACTCAAAACTCTTTTAGAAAAGAAAGCAGTCATCATAGAAAAGAAGACTTATGGCACTAATACTAGGAGCAGCAGAATAACCAGAATATACACACTGGGACTGTCAAATGCATTCAAGGTAATGATAACAATCAAAGAAGGAGAAAATAGAACTACAGTCAAGGCAAAGTAAAAGTTATGATTCCTTTGAGAAAAGGTAAAACGAAAAATTCAACAAAATAATAGTTACGAGTGAATGAGAGTTCACTGCTTCGTCTTTGGCTTCATTTACGTTTGGAGCGTTTCAATTGCTGTCTGAAGAGAAAATAAAAAGAAAGGGTTAGTTAGTAGACAGACCGCATCTTGGAAAACAGCATTAAATTGAGTTATAATAAAAAAAGCATCTATTGTTGTCAATTTTAATGACGCATTCAGATAGATTATTGGCTCTAATCACCTCGTAATTATGAGGAAGACTAGTATAACAGGCAAGAATAAAGAAACAGATGACTACGGGTTGTAAAACAATAGAGCTGAATGAATTTGGTTAACTAATACTCCAATACTCTACTTAGTTTCAAACATAAAATATGCGTGGAAAGATTTGAGGTTTAAACTCACTTTTGTTTGTTTGTACTGCGACGTAAAGGATTAACAACACTAGAAGAGAAATCTTTTGCATCTGTAACATCAGATACCCGACTACTTGGTTCAATTAACCTCGGGGAATAGATGATTGTTTTTTCAGGGTTAGGATTTGACAGAAAATCTTTCGAATAATGAATCAACTCCGTCGAATTCTTTGACGTCATAGATGTGAAACTTTTGTCAAAGTCAAACGAAGATCGACGAACATCTGTTGGAAGACGTGAATAAAAATAATTTAGCACAGATTCTGGATCAGATCTTCGCATTTCAGAAACCATAACATGTTGTCCGCCAAACGCGGCAGCGTCGTGTCTAGCCCATATTTGATAGGTTACAAGGGATAACTGTTTTGACCCAACTGGTAGGTTAGCTGCAGCGGATGTGGATAGTTTGACTAGAATAACACGGACAGCAAATTCGACCTCTCTATCCTCAGCTTCACGTACGACATCCTAAAGTTGAATGTCATATAGTTAAGCATTAGGAACAGTTTATAAAAACGTACAATGGAGCAATACATAAACGTTTCGGACAATAAAATCTTATTCAACTTAACAGATACTATTGATGCAATGTGGTTAGCGAAAGCGATTTTCTCAAACATATTAAGCTACTTCCAGAAGACAAAAAATGTCTTGACCATGATACATGCAACTGAAGTCTTAAAGTGAGAGCTGTTTATACACCATGTTTTTGAGGAGTTTCGGCTGAAAGGATTATTTTTTAGGGTGCTCAAACAGCAAACTGGTAGTTTAAAAACAGATCAACCATAAAGAGCAGTTACAGAATAGAAAATGATTCAGAACAACGAAGAGGACAGCAAAAATGGAAACAATATGGTATACTCAATGCAATGAGGCAACGAGTATATATATATATATATACTAATCAATGAACATGGTAGGAAATTTGATAGAAAGTTGTCGAGCGCTCTAAGGTTTTCATTGTTTCTCCAACTGATGTCAGTTCATCATGGATATTAACCTGAAACCAATTCATAAATTCCCAAAAACCTCCAAATTGAACTACGGTTGTTTACCTAGTTAACAGATTGTTGGTAAATTTTACACTAACAATTTTGTCTCGTTTCGTCTAATTTCTATAACAAAACTGAACAGTTGTGAACTATAGGTAACCCAAAAAGTACTTTTGCTAACGAATATCAGTGACAGAACATTACTGTGCATCCTGTTAGAAGCCCTTAGTTTGAGAATCATATATAGGAAAGATAAATACAAATACAACTAAACCAGGATGCTAAAATCTAGCAATAGTCTTTAATAACATTAGACTCCTTAATCTGAAGAATATATCACCGAAATAATACTAAACAATGTTGAGCTGTTGGTTACCGATTTAAACACTTCTTCCGCAGTGCACTCCAAAGTCCATCTATCCACAACAACTTAAAGAGTTGAACATAGTGTGGCCTATAGATGCATAAAAATGATAGATTGCAAACTAGTGTAAATAAAAGTTGATGCCAATTCAATTATTGCAACAGCACAAATCTATACCCACTTTGATGACCTATAACATATATTCTTTAGAAGTATGGAAAAATAGCCGTCTCCAGGTGTCTCTGTCAGCGTAACTGAAATTGAAACTAACTAATTCCACTTTATGCGAGCACAACTCACATACGTCACAGAAACCATTTCTTTATTTAAAACAGTCAGCAACCACCAAGACAAAGTGTTGACACATTGCTGACTCTACTATCGGTGCAGTGTACGCAGAAATATTAATTCAAAGGTTTAAAAAACTAGAATATCTAATAACATTTACCTACCAAGTTCGATTTAGTTAATAATTCACATGGCCAGCTCAAATTCCAAAACAGTTGAGCCATGTGAAAAGCTAGTTTTAGGACATTCTGTGTTAATACAAATGATTCCGACAGTGTAGCGGGATTTTGTAATCCAGAGGTACCAACATGAGATGATGTATTCCCAGTGGAGTTGGTTGTCAAGTCATATGCAGAGCTGTTCGAAATTGGTGTTATATTACTACTGGCGATATTAACATTACTAGGACTGTTAATACCACATTCACTCGATGAACGCTGACTTGATCCCAGACCAGAACGACGAGTATAATTAGCTGCAGGATTTCGGAAGGAGCACGTGTACAGTTCATGAAGGGTTTGAACAGTACGCGATTCCCAACCAAGTAATATACGCCAGTTAGGATTGAATACCACACAGTCATTCTGAAATATTATTATGAAGAAATACATAAATTTTAACCAGGCAAGATTTAACAGATAATTAACAGAACTAGCAATGAATACAGTTTATAAAGCTGAATAGATAAATAAGATCCTGTAGTGTAATGTTCCAGTGAATACTGATCAACACAGGATACCCTTAATTTAATAACGTTTGCTGTCTACGTAAACTATTATCATAAAAGATAAGAGATACTGTACATATTTATTGAAAAATACGATTAAATATCTATCCCAAAATAATTTGGAAAATTATTTTAAGTGGAAGTAGGATTGTAACAAAAGAAGCAAGAGAATGCCCAAATTTTTCCTTTTTGCTTACAAGCAACAAGTAGACAAGTATTTTGAGTATATGAGGTAAATAAGTATAATCTATTCAAATTCACACATTTTGCTCGTCACCTCCTTTAAGGTAAAAAGGATTAAAGTAACATCAGACAGAATACTGAAATTCAGTATGATGACTAATATGATGAGAATGCGTGGATACATCTGCACCATTGAGGTAGATTCTAAGCCATATCAACAAAAGTCTCTAACCACCGGCCAAAGTTATCAAGTGCAGACAAAACCACAAGTCTACATTTCTCTATACCGATCAGACCAACGACCAATGACTTCATAAAATGATGTCATGTTTTAGTCTGAACGCCTCTGACCACTTTTCAACCTACTCCTACTTCAGCTAATACTATGCTACGAGGTAGATAGTCACCAGGCATGAGTACTAATTAACTTTCCCATTTTCTTAAAGCTCTACACCTGACTTCTACGTTACTCACGTGGTGACAGCAAGACATGTGGCCTATGATGCGAAAGCAACGGTGGTCGAACACCCGAAACCTTCTTAAATCCTCTACCTTCAATGGTTATGTTTCATAGCGAAATAATAGAACAGAAAGGACTGCAGCACAGTAAACTTCATCCTTATTAGGTAATCGGATATCAAGACAGTAGCGTAAATAGAGTCAGTTGGCGTAAGTCGAGTGAATCATTTGTATCCGTGCAGAGATTTCGTCTGTCAGCGACCCACCAGGGTTAGTCTGACTTTTCAGGTAAGTGAAGTGGTCAACGCATCCAATCACTTCACTCCCTTTCGTTAGGAAAAACACCAGCACAAACCAGTCATTCATAAACAATTCGCATTTGAGTGGAGAGGAACTTATTTCAAACATTCTGAAATTGCCACTCAATAAGTTCATAAGACTCTGAATTTTGTCAGCAGCTTAACTGAACAGATCCAAGTCATCTGCATACTTTAGATCTAATACGTGGTTCTCATGTAACACGATAAATCCCTGAAAAGTCTGATGACGAGAGGTAGACGTCAATTAGTAAGTCTATGATAAAATAAGAATGGGGACAGTGGACACCACTCGACGTACAAAATTCACCAACTTGATAACTCACCATGGGCTCTGACAAACAGAAAACGTAGGTGTCAACGGAGCGATGTACCTACCTGGATTCCGCTTCAGTGTAAGACACTGTCATAAGAAACCTCTTCGACAGAGTCAAATGCTGCCAACAGATCAATGAATACAGTTTGTGTCAGGCGCCGACAAGTATGCCTGAGTCCCATTGCCAGACAGAGGGTGGATGGTGGATGCCACGTCAGACAATATCTAAAGCTTGTGCTGGCCAGAAACAGAACGAAGGTTAACTCTCTGAGCCAACGAGTCATGGATCAATCGCTAAGAAATAGATGGTTGTCGGAAAACGGTTGTAACAGGCGATTGCCGTTATCTGTTCGTTCGACTGCGATTCCGAGTTGGAAGAAATTAAAGATGATATAGGGATGTTGATGGAGAGACATGAAGGAAGATTAGAAAGTAAAGATGTCTAGGGTGGAGGATAGTGATCTGAGGTAATTTGAGTGCTCACAGAGTAGTGAGGATGGTTGACACTTACTGACTGCCGACACCATGGAAGGCTAGGTCTTCTTGAGATAACTGAAAAAGAAGGGCTGGTGTGTGACCGCAGAGCACAAGGGAAATCTGCTACAGGTCGATCATACACGGCCTGTTTGCGAGTTTGAGATTTAGGTTTGTTGCATTTGTATTTGACTATGAACCCATGTCGCAAACATCATCATGACGCAAGGTGATGGGGGCGTGTTATTTTTAGAACCAGGCTTTTCTAACCTTTTCTTTCCATAGAGAAGGTAGCATCAGAATGGCACTACTGGTCGTCCGTGAAGATCACCTTACAGTTGTAACTTCCCCGTTTAGCCAACGGTATGACTTCACCCTCGTAACCCCATCGTAGTATGGTAATTTACACTATAACAACAACTGCTTTTTGTCTTAACACTATTCAACTAACCCTTATATAGGGTGGTACGGGGATAAGTGTTCCATTAACATAGTCCATTGCGGCATTGTGGTATGCAAGCCCGACCTCCACGTAACAGCTATACTCTTGATTAACCTTACTCTGTTAAAAAGGTGATATCAGAAACAAGCATTAGCTATATGAGACGTAAGAGAAGAGGTCTTAATCGTCCAAGATGTTTGCTTACACTAATACTAGACACACAACATTTATCTAACATCTGACTGACCTTTAAACTATCATAAAAAACGAAACTAAAACAATCACTGGTTGAATGAGTGGATAAATGCCCTTGATTAGCTACTTCAAATTGATGAGCGACTGCTAATATATAGGTTCTTTTCACCCATCCTTAGGTTCAAATGTTTTTATTCATTATATCTAAACATTATTTTGTAACACCTAGTAACTAGAAGCAAGTTGGGGTGAACAACAACTAATTTGAGGTCGTAGCAACACTGGTTTATCGTGTTTAGAAACCAGGCTCGTTGAGGCCATGCCATAACAAGGTCTACTGCGAATTAGTATGACTAAAATCAGCTCCTGTCATAGCAAAAATGATTTGGGGATGAAGTCAGACTAACGATTAGACAGTAATATGACAGTGGTAATTTGTTTCTTTTGGGTGATAAGTATTGACAGTTAAGTTTCATGTTATGGACGGAGAGGAACTACTAAACTTTTCAACCCTTTCAAAAGTAAGTAAAAATTCCCTTCAGCCACCTTGTGCACATCCGTGCAATGGGCAACGAGCCACACCTATTTTGTGAGGGTAAGCGATACTACTTGGCTGCCCAAACCTCGGTAGGTGGAATGGGGCTAGAACCCATGACCCAATGGTTGATAGTTATCTCCCTAAACCACTCAGCCATCAATAGTAAGCTTATCCTCATCTATGTTTGTTGTTTTCTTTTGACTACCTCACACCCTTATCAACTTTATTGAATTTAGTTATATCAACTCCTTAATCGGTAATAATTTATGACAAATCTAATCAAGGTAACATTATTCTAGTCCTCATAAAATCAAACTAATTTGCATGTCAGGATTTTAAACACACAAATCCTGTGTTAAATGACCATCCTAAGCTACGGATACAACAATGTATGTCCAACGTATTGCATCACAACTCTAAGCTAGTTATATTATTTGACCTGTAGGATGGATGGCACTTAACCTATCAATCGAGAAATCTTGTGGCTTCTGGAAGGTGTGTCAAGCAAATATAATATTATGGGGATAAAACCTCTATGCTTGTATTCACGTAGTCATACAGTAAGCCTACTGAAAAATGCCATATGAAGTGACAATAATCATATGCATCTGTTGGAGACCTTTACCGTTACAATTTAATTTCATTAACTGAAAACATTTGGCGTGCATTTGGTTTCTGTAAGATTAAAGATGATGCTTCGGAAATGGTTACACTTGCCCTAACTGGTTGGTTTGTAACCAAACCTCCACCTGGGTACAAAAATTTCGTTTGGAATTCTCTAGTTTACACAACCTAACAGATCAGGGGAAAATTTCACTGATTACTGAAAGTATATGTTACATAGCATTATTTCCTATGCCAATCTTCACCTGAATAGTATGACCATTAGAAGTAAAAGATATGAGAAGTAAAATGTACTGAGTCGTATACATATTCAAAACAGAAACACGTTGAAACGCTAATTAAGGAGGACAAATAAATCAAAAAAAGAAATGAATTTCTTTTAGTAAGGATGTTGAAATGTATATTACAAGAAACGAGTGGTCAAAAATCTCTTTAGTGTTTTCTATCTACTTTAAATCATTATATTTGCGCTGTTGCGAAACATGTCAATTTGAATTATTGTAAATGTCCACGCAGTTTCAATCTTTTTTCCATACATTACGCGATGTATATTTTATTTTGTCTAAGCCAGTCTACTGTATATTCTATGTAAAAGGAAACGTTGGTATGTTAGAATTCGTTAGGAAACTGTTAATTAGGAAAATAGTCATTCTCATGCAATAATACGTATATGCATATATTTACAAATAACTCACTAAATGATAAGAAAATTGTACGGTACTCTTTCCAAACGAATTCATATAACACTGCATTAACTTATCCATATCCAAACTCAGACCGACGGCATAAGGGCATTTATCTGTAGTCAATGCAGTCACATTTAAGTTACTAGAAGCGCAACCACTACGAGATATTTTTCTTGGCAAACTGTTAAGAGTGAGAAAATGAAGGGAATAAAAGTCCGTTTTTACACAGCATGAAATATTTGATTTAATTGACAAAATTTTATACAACTAGTTCACTTGAACCTGAATAATGCAATGAAAACACTATCTGTAGAAAAGGAAGACATCATTTTATCGTACAGGATCTTCATCAGTTGCAGACAACCTAGGTAACTATAAATTCAATACGCAAATGTAAGCAATATTAATTGCATTATAATATTAATTCAAATGTTGAAGAGGCAGAATTGTGGATAACATAAATACTACATAGATATAAATTCAGTCAAACGAGAAGGGGATGTTCGTGATCAAGAATGAATGACCGAAATTCATACATCATGGAAGGCGGCTACGCAATCACATGAGAGGCTGTGCACAAAAAATTGAAAAATGAGTACGACAAACAAAACAATACAAACAGTGGCAATTATAAAATAGAAACAGTCAAATTGAAGACGGTTAGAGAGGAGGGAAAATGAAGGTTTGAAGGTGTTCGATGATAAACTAATGCTCTCAGATGACTTTAACTACAAACGGCAGACCCAAACAGACAAAGTGAATCAATCCAAAAACATTACAGGGGACTGCAGAAAACAAGTAGGAAGAGAAAGAGGCATTCCAAAAAGATTAAAGTGTATGGAGTGAGAAAATAATTTGAAAATTAAGGGTTAGTCAAATGCTCAAGCTTCAGAGGATGTTAAAGAGTGAATATATCTGCACTATTGTGAACGATCTTCAAGCATGTCACCAACAGACTCCAACCGATGTTTTCTGATCTCACAGACACCAGCACGACAACATACACCTACTTAAAGACCAAGAACTAGAGACTTAATAGGCAAGCGCCACTGCATTGATGTGACAACCCTATGCTTCAACCAAATACTTCTTCAGTATAGTTGCTTGTATTATATCGTTGATTGGACCGAATTGATTGGACTCTATTGGCATACGGGCTCCTGTGCGGATGCCTCGATATTACCTGTATTTTAATTATACTAACGACGGTATGACACAAGCAATTATACTGAAAACTATACCCGTCGCACAAGAAGTGGCTATCGCGGCTCGGTGGTCTAGTGGATAGCGCTCTGGCATTTGAAGCGATCGGTCCCGAGTTCGAATCCCGCTGGGAACAACACACTGGGAGGCCACCACATCCAGCTGACGAGTCACGAATAGTACGAAATGCGCATCCTGGATTCCGCTGCTAGTCACTATCCGTCATTACAAATACTTCTCTTCCAAAGACAGCACATCAAGACAAGCAGTGAGTTGGTAGGTGCAAAAGATATCCAAACCAACCCAGTAGTCAAATACTTACGACCTCGTCAAATAACTTTTGCTGCAGTCAGTAGAAAAATGAGCGGAAATTACTAGTAGGCATTAGCTAGTGTTATGATCCTCCTCAATTCTTGCAAATTTATGCGGTTAGGCAGTTTTCGGATGGCTGTCGACTGGTATCATATCGTCAATGTAGGCTGTCTGCTATAAATCGTCGACTTATCTCCCCATACTCATAAGTCCACAAGAGTTAACCATCGAATCTCCTAACATTCTTAAAGTTGATTTCACAGAGTCGGTGGACTGGTCAGTTGAGGTCAAGTCAATAAGCATATTTGAATTCTGTATGTGTGTCTCAGAGATACAACATACATTCACAACTTGAGATTGTAGAGTTTTGACAAGAGAAGTGTGTTGCTAGATTTGGCATAGAGTTCGGACGTTGAATGCGGGAATGTGAAATTAGCAGCGGGGTTTAAGGAGAATGTGCATGGTGGTCCTGGTAACTCGGATCGTTGGCAGCGATCACAGGATTGAAAGCTGAGGTAACCACATGGTGTCTAATATCGGTATTATGAAGTGACTCGAAGAACGAAGAGTTCAAACCCCTAACCACTGGTTGACAGTCAACTGCCTAGACTAGCGAAGCACAGCTGACCCCTCCCCGTTGACTTATTATAACGACAGTTGATGAACTAATACACAAAAGATGATAGGAACTGGAATAAATTCTTCTTACCGAATAGTAGTGAATTCTTTGGGTACACAGTGTTTAGCAATTAACTGAGTATACTCGCCCCCTTGACCTAACACAGTTAACGTTGGGTGCGCATCATTTGTTTTGCATAGGGTTATATTACTACTCGGACTTGGATTCACTTTGATTGACAAGTCTTCTGGATTACGAGAACAGTGATTGATGGAAGAACCAGATACGCCTGACTTCCGGTAAGAATCTGACATTGCAGTCAATTGGAACACCAGGCCATTGTACATATGATGCGGAAGGACTAATCCTGGGGTAAATCGGAGCTTCAAAAGAGAAACATAACGATCATGAGTTAGGACTATGAAAGAATTTCTGTTGATCTTATTTCCTTCGTGGTAGGTTACTGAAACAATATTCTGAAAAGAATGATGCAAACCTTCATGAGTTATGTCTTGTTTGGAATAGTAGATCTTTTCTAGCCTCAAAGAATAGAACAATTCTCACAGCCAAGTTCAAAGAAGATATACGTGATCAAATTTTAGAATAACTGCAATAAAGACATCTAAATGATAACTCCTTGTTGTAGCGAATATCATTAAGACTATAATACTAAAGTTTACAGAGAATAACTAAATCAATAGAAACGTTACTGGTAAATTAACATATTTGCATGTTGTGCGACACTCTGAATACCCTTTTTTGAACTCAGTTGATGAAACGGTCAATTGTTCGGATATATAGGGAGATATATAACGTTAGGAAAAATAGAAAATAAAGAATATTGTAACAAGGAACTTAATAAATATATTCAACTTATAAAAACAACACTGAATGAAACAAACAGATCTGTTCGAACAAACCGCATACTGGATTCCTAACTCAGCTGGAACGTACATCTAGGTGTTATAAGACATAAATTATGTTTGTTGTTCGAGACAAATCAAAACTATCTTGTTTGTCAGAGGAAAATGGATACGAAAGTTTATATAACCTAATGGTTGATGATTAATTGTCCTCACCACATGGTGACGCGATGTGGGGATACCGACACAAAAGCGAGCCTTCCAGAACGGGTTCATCTATTTAACACTGTCATATTAAATGAACCAATAACAACATACATGAAATCTTCCTGACCAATCAAATCTCATGTAAATATCTGTTAGCTCCTCCAATAATTTCACTGCACTATCTATTATTCTACTGATTACGTGACATTGTTGGGCTGAATGTTGAATAAATACTTCACGTATATGGCCAGCATGAGCAGATTCCAAACGAATAATTTTCATAAAACGCTTCTGTGCATGTCCACGAGGTTTACTTGTCAAGTATTCAGGTAAAATAAGCGAACGAGTCGGTTCATTATTTCTTGATCCACCCGAATTTGACAACATTGTAGTGCATCCAGCATGAGATACTGCTTGAGAATAAGCATTATTATAGTTCACTGATGAAAAGAAGAATGAATAAGTGGACATATTAACAGGTTTTGGATCTGCATTTGCTTCAGATAAATGACGCCAAACAGTTGCACGTGAACCCGATTGAATACCAGACAGTTTGAATAGTGCTTTAATCAAATTGGTATGATTCACATACAGAAAAAATGTCAGATACTTTGCGAAATAAAAAAAGAAAAGGAGGGAAAAGTCGATATGAAGTTAAAAAGTACTTACACAATTACTGTACAACGATAATTTACCATAAGAAAAAAGCAAAAGAATGGAGTTTCTTTTCGGAAGAAAAGGATCTCTTGCACATCGTGAAGATAGAATCTTATCATTTAACATTTCTCAAAGATGTGAGATCAAATATATAACTGGTAATTAACAACTATCAAAGCAGTGCGTTTTATTCAGGAATGAGATGATTTTCGCCTATCTAATCATATAACACACCTATAGGAAATATTTCGTCCATACATCGAATATGCCTAAAAATGTGTTAAACGAAAATTAATCTTTATCCCTGACAAAAACACTATAGCTACGAGGTCGAACAACTTATACACCACAAAACGTTAGTCATAAAATATTGTTTAAGAAAATGAATTCTGAATAGCCATCATGTGTGTCATTGCTTTTTCTAGGTTTTGCTTTCATTGTATAGCACTATGGCTGTACAAAAACTCTTTTTAGTCGTAAAAAGCTTCATTCTGAGCGGTGCTTATCACACAGTTTTTATTTTGGTTGTACTGTGAAGTCATACTGAAGTTAGTGCTGATGTCGTCTAGAAAGACGATGAAAGCTTCACGATTAAAAAACGCAGCTCAGAGAACACAATACAACCAAGACCATCCACCTGAGCTACAAATATTCTTTTAGGTGAACGGAAAGATAAAATAAGGTTGAAAATTTTCAATTTTTAACGCGTTTCAGACAATTTAGAATAAACGTCTGTTGGATTTTCGCTTAATTAACAACAAATGTAACTATCTTTATGTATTTTGTCACCTTTACTTATATCCATCTATTCGCCTTCCATTCATTTGCTATTTCGATGCTTTTGTGAAATGTGAAAACTATAATTCCTTTCCATTTGCGATAAATTCCACATGTTGTCCTATCTGTTTGACTGGAAATTGAAACTCTAAGTAACCGTTATCAATGATAATGTTAACCGATATACTTGAGGGTATGGTATGCATGAATCCCCATGAAAATAAATTTCATATTACATAATCACTTTCTGGCAGATAAGATTTCCAAAAAATAATTATGGAGACATTCATCTAGGGGTTTGTCTATTAGAAGAATTTTTCTTCACATAGTCAATCGCTTAAAACTAGATGACTTGCTTTAAATAATGTTATAATCAGAAAAAAATATACAACAAACGTATAATGAAGTCAAAAAGCCCATTAAACAGGTGATTACGTACTTTTGACTGGAACAATTTTTTGGTTATTTCACGTAGAATGATGAATAACTCCACAACCCAGTAAGTGCTTCAAAAATAGAAAAGTTATAGAAATACATAACGTCATATATATTAGTATGTATACAAAATACAGTATATTGAATTAAATCGGAACAGAAAATCACATGCCATCACATCATCCCTAATCTACGTAAGACATTTTTCATAGTCCTAATTAGATCACAAGAAACTGCTGTTTTGCTGAAAAGTCTGGTGCATACAATATTGTTGAAGCATCCTAATTCAAATTAAGATGTGATGGACACACTCCACATCGGTGTAAAATGTAGCGATTTTAATATTCTTCAGCATAAACCAACTGACAATGGTTGGTCGCTACTGAAAGTTGATGCGTCGATAATTTCCAAACAAGATGAGTCAGTAGGGTAAAAAAAAAATGAAATACGATCTCCATTTTAAATAGTTAGAAACCACTCAGACTGATCGGCAGTGTTTTGCCAGTTAGATCGGAGTGACCTAAACACAGGACGACCGTTTTGTTCGTTTGGGGTCAAGCTTATTAGTGGTAGACCAAGGGTGGCGAGTAGTATCTCTCATTAGTGCATGACACTTGTGTTAGGGATCACATCTTGTGATCTCAGTTGAGCGGTCTTCAGCAGAAACAACGTTGACAACACAGTTGGGCTATTGGAAAAACTTCTCAACTATGATAAATGCCACTGTAGATCGTGCAATTTATAAATTCTTTGCAAATTGATCATTTTATGATCTGCATTCTTTGATTTTAGAACATTTGAAATGCTCTCTTCTTGAACACTGTTAATTACTTTGAAAAGGTGGAGTTGCATACTCTAAAAACTAGGCATCTGACAGAACTCGTCTGAAACAACTCATTTCATGAATCGAAAGGTGCTAAACAGAGGAAAATATACTGTTATGAGGTCATATAAATCATAGCTAGATGTATCGAGACGATAAGCCTCCTCGATAGTGGCTTGGACAGAAAACAGTGAAACCTAGTAACAATTATATTGACTAATATAGCTTGGTAAAAGATTGTTTACAGAATCTAATGTCAATTTTTCAAAAAAAGTTAATCTACATACTACACGAGTAAACTACTGCTTGTATTCATCTTTTTTACTGTGCATTCATAACATTTAAAATGACGAATTTAAACGTGGAAGAACTGTTGTCTGTCAAGAAGTTAACTGGGTACAGACAAGTCAGATGACAACATTGATAAAAACAAAGTAACTACAAGATTTTGTAGGCAAACTGTATATACTTCTATTACTGCTAGGATTACGAGACTAAGTATTAAATTTGCGAAATGGTTAGCAACATATTAGTCATACTATTGAGAGTGGTGTGAAAACGGGAAGGAATCAGGAAGTATGAACACAGGGACTGAAGAAAAAAGTGTGAAAAAAAGTACAGTCAGTGACTCTGACTAGGCTATAAAAATCTTTTGACGATCTTAATATTTTACGCCTACAGGATTTCACAGCAAAATTAGCTATAACCACCTTTTACGTCAACAGTGTTGTAACAGACTTGCACTATTTGCTTCATATACTAAATATTACATTCCAAATAACTAATGCTGAGGTCAGGCGAAAGATACTAGGCAAGAAACGCAAGTCGATCGACGAGGTTGCGAACTGAGATCGTCTAGACATGTACTGCGAATGCCGAGCCACCACCTACCTCGACGTCCCATGCTAGGGGGAGATGGATTAAATAGGAAGAGGATTCAGGATGGCAAGACTAAGATGTGGCACCAGTCGAGAAAGTCTATCACTGTTAACCTGAGTCGTGTGAAGAAATGCAGACTGCTTGGTTGGGGGTCCCCGAGATGAAAGGAATCAGTGGTTGAGACCTCTTGGTGACATGGCTGGAAATCGGTCACAATGGTGCACCTTTTATATCTACCTATTCTTTGTTTACTACTGTGAAGTGTGGTAACTTGAGCCGATACACATGTGCGCGAGGTTGTACGTTGGTTTTGTCAGTCAGTCATTCCAAATAATTATTTCTTTGTGTAAAGATAAAAAGCCGATGACACCTATCTGCTGTATTACTATTAGCCAAGTATACAAAAAGAATGTATTAGTAAGATGATGTAATTACCTGTTTTCCATAGAAACAATATCAAATGCTGCTCGGTTAACTTCTACTGGACAACCAAATAATATATGAGGTTCAGTTGAATTTGAAACGGAAGAACTATGATAAGTTCGACCAAACTCATAACGTTTTAAAGGATTTGATTCGTTTCGATTTTCTAATAAAACTGAACCTGATCGCGCTAGGTAACGAGCAAATGCTATATGCAAGGAATCAGGTAAGCGAACAGGTAGTCCATTTTCATCTAATAAAACTGGAGCAGCTGATAAACGATCCCAGTTTTCAACATTATGACTATTATTCACTCCAATAATATCACTATCGTCATCATCCTGTTTTGACTGATTAAACCATGATGTCTGATCACATCGATGAACGACTGGAACAAGTGTAGGAGATTCCATTAGAACACCACTGTGCGCAATAAATGAAGTTTCTACCAGATGTATTATAAACCTATATGAAATTAAAAGCAAAAAATGTAATACAGATAAGTAGCGTACAACGGTTATGTTCAAGATCACGATGGTCATTTAATGATAATTTATACTTCTAAAAGTGCCAATAGACACTTTTTTTACTCTGCATTTATTCATTTCATTATTTGCATCTTCTAATGAATAAAACAAGGTAAATTTATTGTTTCGATACTTGTATTTTCCCATTGTTATACAGACCCGTATTGCTCGACCTTCGTCATCAGATGGGATCCCATGCGCATGCCTCAATATAGCTGATATTCATGATGTTCCGTTCATCTTGATGATTAGCAGTGGAATCCAGGATACGCGTTTCGTCTTATTCAGGATTCATCAGCTGGATGTACCAGTATCGCAGCGAGTGTTGTTGTCGCTCAAACTGGAACCCAATACCCACTGCTTCAAACGACAAGGCGTTATTCACTAAGCCACCGGAGTACGATATCCACCCGTTGTGCAATGGGTATCAGTTACTGCTTTGATACTAGTATGTTTTTTAAACTGACATTTCGCTATTTAGTGCTAACAGTTTTATCAAAGTTACAGTAAACCGGAATTTATAATATCCAAGCCTGTATATGATAACTTGATATTTCTTCTGGATGGATGATTTCATGTTGGCAAATTATTGAACAAAGATGATTTCCATAGAGTATTGTGTGTGATGAGTGTGCGAACTACAGTTCTTATCGCATGCGTGCTGGTTGTCAGTATGTGCGGATGGGTTGGAACCAGGTCAAGTTTCGTGCCATTCCCTTACTGCCATTAAGACAATTTCGATTCCACTTTGTGTGAAGAAATTTTCTATGAGACCTTCCCTATAATTTCCGACGCTTTTTTGGATAAACCTAATATCGTAAAAATCGACCTTGTGACCCGAAATGATAGTGTGATAGCTCTGCTGGATTCCTAGAGAGTCAGATGAAAACCCTTCGGGGTTCACTTTTCGTATTTTTAATTTCATATGGTGTATTACAGCCTGAGCGTTTTATTTTATAAACAAAATTAGATTGTGAATGCAGAGGAGTTTTTCCTTTCACACCAACTAAAGTGGTCTGCAATGCGTTTGATTTTTAGCAGAACACTCTGGACATTCCGTCAGTTGAGCATTCTCTGAATCTCATCCGAGATGCGTTGGATAATATCCAATAGAAAAATTGCTTGAAGGATCGTTTTAAACTCAGTGAAAATAAAGAATGCATTCAAAACTCAACACTAAACTTTCACAATACTTTCATCATTATACATTCCAATAGTTTCAATATGATCTAAACTTTTGAATAGAAAATAGACAAACAAAAGTGTCTGGTGAATACGCTTGGAAATAAGTAAATATAAATTGTTTGTAAACCTCTTAAAATCACCGATGTTCAGTTGTCATCCAGAAGAGAATAACTAAGTTATTGGCAAAGAGAATATGACAACTTTGGAAGTCAAAAGCGAATGAGTCCAAAGCAACAAAAGGATTCAATTTTACGTTAGAAAATCATTATCATATGTGTAAAATTAAACATTGAGTTAGATTCCATACCTGCGTATTTTCAGATAACTGAACAACAAGCTATTTGGATTATCCTGAACGAAATAATTTCTCAACAATAATTGAGATGTATACCTTTCATCAATCTGTCTATGAACTGAAGCTATTCCCGTATTACAGTCATATAGTAAATCCTATAGATAACAAGTGAATGCGCAAAATGAGGTAAGGCTATTTGGTAGTCAAAATAATACACAATAAACAAAGTTAATCAAACTATTAGAAAATGTTCATCTACTGCAGTTATCTATATATTATTCATGTACGGTTACAAGTTATTGCAACAATTCTAGCTAACACTGAGTGTCTGTGATTTACAAGATGTGGGCTGTAATTCAGATAATAAACACTACATATCTGAAAAAAGAAATTAACTGACTACCTTGGGATTGATATATCTAGTTCTGTGCTGCATCATTGATGCGACAGCCAACAACAGTTGCCGAAACCGAAACAAATGTCTTCGAATATGTAACTCCACAGATGCAAATTAGGCGTTTTTACTATTGAAGCATTAGTGCGCAGAGATGCAGAATTAGTAAATTGTAGACAGATTCACTAGTATATATATATATATATATATATATATATATATATATATATATATATATATATATATATGTATCTTACTCGTGAAAGGATTGAGTGGACAAGGATATTCTGATACTTGGTGGCGACAGTAATGATTGATTAACAAGGATTATGGTATCAGAGCCATCCACTGACCCTCGGAGCAAAATTCAAATAGGTCCACAGATAGTATAAAATAGATAGCAGTTATGTCAACCTTATCGATTGCAGAAATAGTGAAACAACTTGAATTTATCCATTTGTTTGTTTAACCACAAAAGTGTCTGGAGAAAATCTTCGAGAATACTAGGTATTTAGAAGATCGAACACAGACAATAACTTTTAGATTCGTTGAAGTATATAGTATTACTAAAAGTTAAGGGCTATTCAAAGTTTTACAGCTTTTTCGTTCATCAAACAGACTTAACTAGGAAAGAAACTTTTTAAGAACTGACTTACTGATGCTCCAGAACAAGCTTGAGAGAAGAGAGTATGAGTAACAAAACGATATAAGTTGCTATCTGGAGTTCGACATATTTCAATAAGTTGCTTCTTAAATGCTGCTTCAGTTGACTTGAAAGGTGGTACACGTGACGACGTGAGTAAATCCTATGAGGACGAAAAAGGGAACACAAAATATCATTTAATAAAGACCTGAGTTCAGGAAATATGTAAACGTTATCGATTTCTAATGATACACAAACACTGTTGTCTATGAACTTGTAATAAACGAAAATGGCAGAATATCCTTATCTTGGATTAGATAATTCATTTACTGAAGATAATTGAGGTAACCTTACGCTCAAAGTAATCGAAAACAGCACTAAAGTGTTCAGATCTCAACCACACTGATTCCGCCGAAAGCAACATAAGAGAACCAGAAATGCTAAATAAAGACATATGGCAGTATATAACTTATCAGGTAGCATGAAAAAGATATTCGTGGGCCAAGTGCCAGAAATTGTGACGAAACATACTCAGAATGAAGAAATATAAGTGAGCAAACCAGATAAGCAATCGCTGTAAATCAAATCTTCTAGTCAACTGAAAAGATATGTCCACAATTATTTTTAAAAATTTCAAGTCGAAGTCAACTCAAAGTTTCGTCAGCTGGGGAGCAGAGCATATTTCAATTTGAGATATTAATGTCTTCAATGATAGAAATAGTTTATATATTGATCTTGCGGGTTCTCCTAAAGGGTTCAGTACGGTTCTGCTAGACAAGTATGACTGCATTAAGAAAATCCAGGTGGTATTATGAGATGATTCTATTTATCTGATCTATTTATCAGTACTAAAAGGTGTGAAGAAAATGTCAAGGATAATAATGACTGTTGAAAATATGCCATCATTTGATTTGAGCCTATTATTTAAGAACGTTCCACTTAAAGAAACAAACGAATATGTATTACACAAAACAGATCATCAAATGTTTACCACCGGAAGATCATCTGCGACAAACAATCAACTTACATCCTGTGAATAACGGTAAAATCAACAAAATGGAGCTGCAGAGGATTCTTGTTTTTAGTCAATGCACATAGTTGTCGCCATGGTTAAATTCGAGAAAGGGAAACTTAAGTAAAGTTTAGAGACAAAAGACGTATATCGCTATAACATGGGTCGTACATCTGTGATGCGCAAAAAGGACATATATTGTGGTGAGTTTGGGAAAAAAAATTCGACAGCACATATAGACTAATCCAAACTGACACTTAAGCTCCCATATGAGAACCAAATTTCTTATTCAGAAGTCTTGATTAGCAGAAAGGAAGATGAGCAAACAAGCATGCAGTAAAAAAAGACCAGAAAAATATAGTCGTTTTTACAGCTCAGGGAAAAGAGAAATTTTCCCTAATGTTTATTCAGAAAAGTTAGAAAAGTATGCTCTGTTGACAGATTTTGTAATGAGATAGGGAAAAATTACGGAAAAATAGTTATCGAGGAAAGTTGAACAAAAGGTACGTGATAGAAACGAACTACAGAAACGGGAAAGTAGTCGCCAAATAACCATCATTTTAAACAATGGTAGATATTAAGAAGACATCGCTTGAACAACACTAGCAGACTGCCTATGACGAAGCCTAACGAATATTATTGTTACTAGCAGGCTGAAAATAAATTTTACAAGCAGAAATCAAAGATGGAATTCCTCATTTATCCATATAAATTAATCTGATCCTACGCAGTAAGTCTCACACTGGATGGCTGAAGTTGATATCATCGTAACTGCAAAATCACAATTAAGTATCCATGAGATACTGATCCAAATAGCAAATCTTTCTTCGTCTTGTAATATAGGCTTTATGAGAACTTTGATTATTTCCCATATAAGTAATTGTATTCACTTTTTATGCAATGTTATGTGGTTAATTTACTAACCACTTGTAGAGTGTGAACAGTATCACGGATGTGCGCTGTACATCCAACTCGGCCATCGAGTCAAGTGGATCGTTTCACTAGAAATAATTTCAATAACTTCGTCAACATAATCCTTAGGTTCAGCAATAAAATTTCAGACTAATTTACGAGCAAGTTTGATAAAACATTAAAAACTGTATGGCAATGTATTTACGTACCTCTTAAACATTATATGGAACACAAAGGATGAAAACTTATATATATATTGGTTATCGATTAGTTTTTCCCATTATGATGAAATTAACTTCCAAATAAAAGTTCAAACGGTCAATATGAAAACAAAATACGTAGAAACTCACAGACGCACTTGGTCTTCTAGACGGGTCATGTTGAAGCATAGCACGAATCAACCATGTCTGATTGACCAGTTCTTCTTGGGACCAGTCTTTCGGAAAGATAATCTTTTCCTTCCTTAAATCAGTTAAGACAGACACGCGTTCCATTGAAGTTGGCATAACCCGGTAAAACATTTCAAAGAGAATTATTCCCAAACTGTATATGTCAACACGCTAGTTTACACAGCATACATAAAAGAGAAACAGATTCATTTAGATGAGAGAATGAAAGACAAAAACAAGACAGACAATTCTAAAATTAAACATAAACACATAAAACATGTGTGACTTCATCATGTTTTCGAAATCTTAACATTTTAAAATCAATGTCTTTAAAGTATTTCGCCGAAAAGACCCAAAGAACTCAGTGAAACTACCACCAAAAAGGAGAGATTCACACTTCAAAATGTGGGCAGCGAACAAACAGCAGCATGAAAAAACTAACCAACTGGAAACTACCAGACGTAACCTTGCAACTCACTGCAAACAAACATCCTGATAGGAACATTAGGCATCATTTAGTATCTGAAACTTTCGATCCTGTGATTACTGCCAACGATCCGAGTTACCAGGACCACCATGCACATTCTCCTTAAACCCCGCTGCTAATTTCACATTCCCGCATTCAACGTCCGAACTCTATGCCAAATCTAGCAACACACTTCTCTTGTCAAAACTCTACAATCTCAAGTTGTGAATGTATGTTGTATCTCTGAGACACACATACAGAATTCAAATATGCTTATTGACTTGACCTCAACTGACCAGTCCACCGACTCTGTGAAATCAACTTTAAGAATGTTAGGAGATTCGATGGTTAACTCTTGTGGACTTATGAGTATGGGGAGATAAGTCGACGATTTATAGCAGACAGCCTACATTGACGATATGATACCAGTCGACAGCCATCCGAAAACTGCCTAACCGCATAAATTTGCAAGAATTGAGGAGGATCATAACACTAGCTAATGCCTACTAGTAATTTCTGCTCATTTTTCTATTAACTGTAACCTAGATGGCCGACAGACTGGATTCTGTCAAAAGCTAACATACTTGGAACAAGAAGCAAAACATTCAGATATACCCACATTATCAGCAGACTTCAACACTCAAGTAGAGGAGATGAGGCAACAATCAAAGTGTCTGGGTAGCCTCAAAAGTATTAAATAAGGAAAGACAGCAACCAATTAGCGTCTACGCAGTGGTTCCTACTACTCCTTGAGTATTGGAATCTCATGCGTTTAAGAATTTTCGGGCATCTGTCCAGTTTCCATGTTCAACTGTTTTGAAGTTGTCCCAGTCGAATGTATGATCCTCCTCTTCATATCTTATTGACATGTAAGACTTCATTTCATGACGTTTGACAGCCAACTTGTGTTCATATAGGCGTTGGTCTACCTGACTATCTTACGTAGTGATGTTTGCGACTATTGCAATTGCATTTTTGGATGACACTAGTCGTTTTTTTTGAACAAGTCTTTTAATTTGTATAGGATGATTGTAGCAATTTTGTTAGTTTGTGACACTGCAGTTCCAACCGAATGGAACAGTCTGACTGTCGTTTTCCATATGTGGGAGGATCATTCTTCTGTTAGTTTGCGGCAGAATTTGACTTCATTCTTTCGGAAAGACATCTGATGAATTTCTGTGGTATGCCGTTGAGTTGGAAGATTTTAAACAAAATTTTCATCTCAGACATCTTGAATTCTTATGTGCTGGAGTGTGTTTAAATAGGGTTCTTTAGTAGCTTTTCGTTTCTGATATCCGTTTATTGTTCATTCAATTTAGAATCTCATTTATTTGAGTTGTTTTCCCGTACACCCGAGTCTCAAGGTTTCCATCTTTACCTTTCTTAACAAATATATCTAAGAATTCCGGTTATCTGCAATTTTTTTCTTCTTTCGTGCCCGACCAATAACAACGAATTGACATCAACAGACTGCACGCAGACGAACGGAAACCAACCAATCATATAGTTGCACACACTAGAAACAGTACATACATAAACACACACACGCACGCAGACACACCAAGCGACCACTCAGATTACACTGGGACAAAGTGGCACGTTTTAAGTATCCACACAACTACTTCTCATACCATCTATTAATGACAGTTGTGAAGCGTGCACACATCATTATTCATTATTGCTATTTTGAGCTCTTCATGTTACAACTGTACGCACAAAAAAAAACTATCCCGTCTGTTGTCACATTTCTGTATTTCCTTTACGCACTTTATTCGGTATTAGTCACATAGCAACAAACTTACGTTGCTCATTCACAAACATTTTTTATTTCATCTGACACAAAATCAATTTGTCCTAAAATGTCGCACTTGAAACTCCTCGCAAAAGGACTGTACACCTACGTTTTGCAACTTGTCTAAACAATACCAAAACTAGAAAAACTTATTGTTAGTACGAATGCTATTATTTCCAAGGCTAGTTTCCTCACTGCATAGCGATTTTCATGGTGCACTGTGACAGAATAGGGTGGACAGTGAACCGTATTACTACTCGGCTGAAAAACGAGAATGTTAAGTATCGGCACAGATACATCATAATGCTTCAAGACATCGTTGAAGAGGGCGGTAGACGATTATTGCTCATTCTGGAATACCCAGCTGACTCTGATCACATGTTATTACGGGCACTCATGGGTTTACGTCTTAGACGGCGTAAAACAAGCAGTACTGAAGTCTCCGTCTGCTCAACTGAAGGGTAAGAATGTTAAGCCTCTACTAAGGGAGGACAAGGTTAAGCATTTATCTCATCATGGCAGTAGTTCCATTCTTGATGAAGTCCAGCATAATATTCAGATTACTGTGAAAACAGCAGTAAAGACAGCTTGTTGGTAATCTACATCCAAAGGTTAGTGACAGCCAGTGAATTTCCGCAACCTCATACGAAGAAGACTCATTCCAGCTGACTCTGACCATAATGAGGAACGAGAGCAGCTAAAGTGCGAATGGACTAAGAGTCTTCACTATAGTTGGGAGCAGTTGTGGGTAATGAGTGCCAAATAGGTGGAAAAGGCACCAGCATTAAGCAACACTCGGCAATTATATAGGCTTATTAAGAAAACTGGGAAGACGAAAATGGTGTCTAGTGAAACCATCGCTGAAAAGGATATGGCCGTGACAATCTTTCTTGACAGGTGGCTAGAGTGTTAGGGAGCACATTTCATTTCGCCCAGCTTTCAGCTCGAACATGAATCCGACGTAGATGACGGTTCTCCAACTCCCATCGAAGTTGAGATGGCTGTTTCTAACCTGAAACGATGCAAAGCAGAAGGACCTAAGGGTTAGTCATAATAGACGTTTAAGGAAGGAGGTAGGAAATTACTGAGTAGAGTGATGGACGTACCACGCAGTGTATATAAGTCGGAAGTAGTCGCACCATACTGGTCTAATTCGATGATCATCCCAGTCTATAAGAAGGGAGATAAGTCTTCTTGTGATAACTCTAAGGAAATCAGTTCGACTGACATCGTGTCCTAAATGGTCTTATGGTCCATAGTTATACGACACTTGATCGGAGTTAGGGAACAGTCAACTCAACAAAACGAGGCAGGTTCCCATATCTGAACGGAGGTGTATCGATCAGACTTTGACAGATTATGGAAGACAGAAATACTTATCTGTGGCCGACGATTGCGGTATTTCTTGACTAGGAGGTGACATTCAACTTTGTTGACTGACGGAGGTGTTGTGGCAGTGTCTGACTGTAACGGCGAAATGTGTGACGCCAATCAAATGAAAGACCCCTACTTGTACTTATGTGGTCGTCCGTGGATTTACGGAGAGTTGTCATTTGAACTAGTGACAACCAGTGATGTCTGTCAGTGATACCCGCCGTCATCGTTTCTGTTCAGCTTTGTTATAGACGTATTATTGAAAATAACCTCAAATGCCTACGACTTGACAGGGATTGATTTACTCCCTAGAGTAGAGGGTATCTGGATGACTTAGGGTGCGCAAACAATATTGTCTTGTTAGGCGGAGACGCTGCAAGAAAGTAGGGTCTCTTGAACACCTTAATTACAAATCTGAGTTTGTGTGACATGCGTTTTGCAGCTACCTGTCAGGCATTCGCATGACAGACTGGCAGAGTCCTCGCTCATTAAAATGAGGTTAAGACCGGGTCAGCAGCTGAGTCTCATACCTCAGTTGGTAGAGTGCTGAGCCGGTAATCCCGAGGTCGCTGGTTCAAACCCTATCGAAAACCAGGTTTTCACTTCTTCTTCCATCACCACACCATATCGATACTTCAAATGTAGTGACTTAGTAAGGTACAAACACCAATGATAAATACAACTTAAATAAGTGATCATTTTCTTTTAAATAGCATGATGCAGTAAAGGTGATATACTAAGGCAGCAAAATTGTTATAGCTTTAGTAGAACTGGAACAACAACCACCTACCTCATCATAGACCCGGTGTTTCTGACGGCCTAACAGTAGAACTTCAGGACTTATATACAAGAAAGTACCAACATTGTGCGTCATAGATTCATCGTAGAAATTCATAGAGTTACGATTATGTTCAATAGGATTGGTTGATCTTTCATGTGTAACCAATGTATTCTCTTCATGAAAATTTGTGCATTCTGCTTGTCTGCTGGATTTCTAGTTTCAAGAGAAATGCAAATAAATGAAAAATGGCTTGTTAAACGCTGCTGAAAAAACACTAGAATCTACTAATATGAAAATGTCGACAATTTTTAATCCTAAGGTGTTACTAATGTAACAAGTTTGGGTTTGTGCAGTGGGTTATGTATTGAAACTATTTTACTGTGGCGGAAATACTCGAAATTAGGTGATGAAATAATGTCATGGTTTGAGAAATACTTCAAGTGAGTAAACTACTGCCCATATGTTTAAAATCCTGATGTTCCTATACTCTGACACCCAAGTAATATGTTGATATAAAGGCAGAAGCTCATACATATATGCTCTGTTAAACAACAACCTTAGACTTCACCCTGGAAGGTCGCGAAAATATCAATAAGCGGTAAAAAAAAGCGATAAAAGGTTTGTTGTGAAGCGAAACATGTTATGTACATATATGTATGCAGCAGCAGTATGGTCTGCAGTCATCTAGTAAGATATTTAGCCCTTTTGAATCACACACTTATAAATACATGAATTCCGCGGATGTTAGGCGTGCAGTGATTGGTAGTGAAGGCTTTCATTGAATTTCCAGCTTGTATGAGAAACCCCGAAGATGGAAATCGAGATGTACTCAACAACCTTGTGCACATTCGTGCAGTAGACAATGAGTCACACTAATTGTGTGAGGGCTAGTGATACTAACTGACCGCTCAAATACCGGTAGTTCGTGCGGAGATCGAACCTATGACGCACTGGTTGGAAGTCATCTCCCCGATCCAATGAGCTATAGCTCTACACTAAGGAATCTAGGATACAGTGATTCATTTAATAACAGTTATTATTATTATTATTATCATATTTGTCCCTTGGGTTCCTAGTGGGGCATATAGCTTCAGTAGCACGTCTCCATTTCACTCTGTTCTCTGCAGTCTTTCGAACCTGACACCACGACTACCCAGATTTGATGCATAAATATAAATCATTTCCTCTTAAGATTTATTCACACATCGTGTGTGCACGTCATTCATATATATTATAATACTCACATATTCACCAACACACCATAAGCGATTTTGTTTGTCAAACTTTATCCTATAAACAAGTGAAACTAAATATGAACTCGCTACAACAGAAAATTCAATTATTTTCATCCAGGCAGACAGTTGAAAAATGAGATATTTATCCATATACACACACATGTATCTATTTTATTCTGCATATAAACAGCATGTAACTAAACCTAGATAACCTCTTCTGAATACGATTCACTATCCTAGAGTAGACGGTTCAATACAGATCAAATTAATGTGAAAACAGTGATTTGCTATTAGTATGGACAAAAAAACTGGTTCAAAAATAAGCAGTGCATTCAATGGATAAAAATAAAAGTACATTCACTGCGTTCATGAAAGCTTGTATTAAGAAAAACTAACTATCGTTTGAGGTGTATAACTCACAAAATTGGAATTTGTGCATTGAAGCTGATAGATAAATTTTTACTCCTTTTATGAGCACAACTTCACTATACGTAATGAAGTAGGATTTCTAGAATGTGTTAGCTGTATAACAAGGTAATGGAATGTAAATTTGAAATATAAATTTGTAAAATCCAAATGTCTAAAAATAACCTGTACAAGTTTTATTCCTGAAAAAGCGGTTTCCATGAGATTGAGAAACGTCAGAAGCTTATTTTTCTACCTCCCTCAAGTTAAAATTTGATCGCATACTTTGCGAAATCAGTACTTGGATCTGAAATAATAAGCACTGTAATTCTTTTCGACAGTGCTGTCACTCATTGAATTAGGCAATTAACAATGATGTAATACGAGTTCATGATTTATTACATTTCAAAAACTTTTGTGCAAACAAGTAGCACCACTAGTCTTCCATAACAGACTGGTATGTGGTATGAATATGTGGGTGGTTGTTGTATCACATTTAGAAAGTTTTTTTACTACTAAGTAACAACTGCAACAATGAAAGGGTGAATCTGCGCCTCAATTGAAGAGAAATTGAACCACTCATATGAGCAAACTTCGAAGTGATTTCACATATAAATAACATTAAAGTGCAAATAGTACGGTGCCAAAAATGTATGTAACCTATGTTTTTATACGGAACAGTACTGGATCAATAGTTTAAAGGTTTTTGGTTGCGGAATTTAATTCCAAACCCAGTTTTTCTTCTAATTAAGCTAGATGATCTGACTGTAGCACGTTGGTCTAAACAGCCTAATTTCAACTAGCAGGTTATGGGCTCAAAAGTTTTAGAACCGGATAGTATCATCAACCCTTAATCCCAGTGTACAAAACTGCATACAGCTGTTTAGTTATCTTATCCAATACAGTTTGTCGTGGATAGTTACCTGAAGTATATGATTAGGCATTTACAACGCTACTACAAAAAGCAGTGTGAAAACATTTGAAAAAACTAACTTGAAATTCAGCAGCAACTGCTTGGCGCGCATTCATTATTTGTTCTTGTACAGTTCGCGTGGCTAGACCAAAGTCTACAATTTTCACATGGTCATTACAGTCTAACATGATATTAGCTGGCTTCAAATCTCTATGAATAACGCCTTTGGAATGAATATACGCCAGTCCATCAGTTAATTCACGGAATAAACTCCAAGCTCTATCTGGACTACATGACAAGTTTTCAAAGTCAATTACATGTCTTAGTGACTTCGATGGACACAACTCCATTTGGATAATAATGTACTATAACATGATGTAAAACGAAAGCACACATTAGGAAATCAAGCAAACAGTACACACTCACAATTCTTTTCCATCAAATAACTAGTCAAATGAGCTAAATCCATAGAGATTGATAACTAAATAAACAGTACAATTGGGGCTTTTGTTGGGATTCAGTCTTATGAAAGTAGGTACCATCACGGATAGACATCAGCTAGAGAACCATTATCAAGCTAGGAGCATTCGATATGTTTTGCAATAGTTTGGGGCGCCTCAGAAGTGGGAATCATCGATCACATGAAGTATCAATCTCAGGACCGTCAAGTGTTGTGGTGAGCACGTTATCAACCCAATCACTGAAATGTGACAACCTCACCATTAGATCCGATGGTCCTGGACCCAGCTAAACACGGATTAGACTGGAAAGCGTAAACGGCAAGTAACCTAAAATGTAGTATCCACGCACGAAATATTTGACTGTTGGTGTGGGTGCACATGCGTCCACACATTATCCTCATCCTCATCGTCATGTCTTACATTTAGACAGTTCTATTCCCCTTTCCTCTCTTTTTATGACTTCCAGCGAATGAAATTACATCTCTTCTTACTTCTTTCTCAATCATTTTGCTGAATAGTAACGTGAACTGTTGATGCAAAGTTGATGACCTAAAAAAAATTACACAGATATGTCCGGTCACGTGGCTCAACCGATAGCTGCTACCTTCACGTGGTGGTCGGGCTTGCATATCACAATGACCCAACGAGCTATGCTGGTGGAACGCTTGTTCCCTCGAGGTCCTACCATACCAGAAAGGTCTGTTGGGTAGTGGTTAGACGAAAAGCAGTTACCGTTATGGTGTAAATTGCTACACTATGATGGGGGTCTGAGGGCGAAGTCGTACTGCTGCTAGCTGGATGGGGTGTGACAGCAGTAAGGTGTTTCCCTTGGATGACCAGCAGTGCCATGCTGATGCTGCCTTCTCAGTGGAAGGGGGGTTAGAAAAGGTCGGCCCCAAAAATAACACACTCCACCACGCCCCACGGTCTGCCGGGCCGGCGGTGTTGGTTCACTTGTCGTTTCCTTTCGACCATCCGGCCCCAAAAATACAAAAGTTCAAAATAATCATACTCAAAAGGCTGGGTGTGACAGGCCTCAAGCAGATGTCCGATGGGCTCTGCGGTCACACAAATCTCTTTCAGGTACCTTAAGAAGAAATAGCCTTCCACGGTGTGGGCAGCCGGGAAGTGTCAACCGCCCTCACAACTCTGTCAGCACCCAAGTTTCTTCTGACTGCTATCCTCCTCCTCCATCATTACCTTCTAATCTTCCTTCACGTCTCTTAATTAATGATGCTGCATCATCTTCAATTTCTCCTACCTCTGCAGCCTTCGACAACGATCTGAGTCCACAGAACAGCATCCCTGGTCTCCTTAAACCACGCTCCAAATTACATATTGGAGCCTTCAATGTCCGCACCCTCCGTCAAATTGGCCAACAGGCTTCGTTGGCAAAGACTCTAGCAACTCGGGCATGGATGTGTGCTGTGTTTGTGAGACACGCATACAGGACCCAAGTGTGGTTATTCACCTGACCTCTCCTGACCAATCTGGTGAATCTGCAAAATTCACCCTTCGAGTTTCTGGAGATTCGATAGCTAGCTCTCGTGGTCTTGCAGGTGTAGGTATAGCATTAAGCACCAGGGCAGAAAACTCACTACTAGACTGGATCCCAGTTGATAGTCGCCTCTGCGCTATGAGGCTGAACGGCACAGTGAGAACTAAAAGGAATAGTGAGACTCGCCGTTGTCTCTTTGTAATCTCTGCTTACGCACCCACTGACTGTAGTTCGGATGAAGTGAAGGACGAGTTCTACCATAAACTGTCTAACCTCCTCTCGAAAGCCAAACGTTCGGACGTAGTGGTTGTTGCAGGTGACCTCAACGCACAGGTGGGTAGACTGAGTGAGGCAGAAAGGCACTTAGGTGGCACTTTCGGAATCCCAGCTGAACGTACAGATAACGGTGATCGCCTATTACAACTATGCTCAGATAACCGCCTATTTTTAGCCAGCACAAATTTCAGACATAAAGAAAGGCACTGTCTGACCTGGCGTCCACCGAGCTCGACTCAGCGATGGACACAGATAGACCACATTGCTATTAGTCATCGCTGGAGAGGATCGGTGGAAGACTGCCGCTCCTTCTGGAGTACGTGTTTGGACAGCGATCATGCGTTGGTCCGAGCACGTATATGCCTGCGTCTCAATGGACGTAGAAAAAATTTGGCAACAAAACCACTACGAGTTCTGCTGGACAACGAAAACACCAAAGCCGTGTTCAGTGAGAAGTTGGCTAGGCAGTTATCGGAACAAAAGACTGTCACTCATCCAGAAGAAGCTTGGTGCCATCTTCAGTCTACTGTAAAAGCAGCACTGGAGACTGTAGCCGACTCCAAGATAATGGCTAAAAAGAGCCAGTGGATATCAGCAGCTTCTTCCAAACTAATGGATGCACGTGAATGCATCCCTGCAGGCTCTGAGTACAATGAAGAGCGAGCGCAACTTAAAAATAAACTGACGAAAAGTCTGCGCAACGATCGTGAACAGTGGTGGGCAGCAAAGGCTAAAGAGATGGAAAAGGCAGCGGCGATCGGTAACAGTAGACAGTTATTTAGACTTATTAAGGAGACTGGGGGGAAATGTCAACAACAGTTAGTGAGGTTATAGCGGAGAAGGACGGATCTGCGATTCACTCGCAGGGAAGGCGACTGGGACGATGGGCAGAACACTTTGAGGAACAGTTTAACTGGCCTCCAGCCACCATTGCGCTGCCCGCTATCCAGTCGGACCCTGAATGGGACATAGAGACAGGTCCCCCAACACTAGAAGAAGTTGAGAAAGCGGTAGGTAGCCTGAAACGGGAAGGGCAGCAGGACCAGACGGACTACCTGCTGAGGTATACAAGAATGGTGGTAGAGTTCTCTTAGTCAGGCTAACGGAAGTGTTAGCCAGTATATGGGAATCAAATACGATCCCCTCCGACTGGTCTAAGTCACTGATCATCCCAGTCTTCAAGAAAGGCGAGAAGTCCTCTTGTGATAACCACAGAGGAATCAGCCTGACAAACATAGTGTCTAAGATCCTAAGTTCTATAATTCTCCGACGCCTGAGTGGAGCTCGGGAACAGCAAGCCCGAGAAAACCAGGCAGGCTTTAGACCTGGCCGTGGATGTATCGACCAAATATTCACACTGCGCCAGGTCCTGGAACATAGGCATGCTTACAGACGCCCGACAATAGCTGTATTTCTCGACCTGAAGGCGGCATTTGACTCCGTTGATCGAGAAGTCTTATGGCAGTGTCTGTCACTGAAAGGCGTGCCTAGTAAGTACATCACCTTATTGAAAGCTCTCTACTCGAACACTTGTGGGCATGTTAGAGCCTATGGTGAGTTGTCCAGGGAGCTATACTCATCAAGTGGTGTCCGTCAAGGATGCCCACTATCCCCATTCTTATTTAATTTTATCATAGATATTCTTATGGAGGTTTCCCTCTCGTCACCTAATTACAAAGACGTTGACCGAATCACAGGTGAATTTTCCTTAGATCTAGAATATGCAGATGACATAGTCCTGTTAGGTGAAGACGCTGACAAGATGCAGAGTCTTCTGAACACTTTGAGTGGGAATTTGAGAATGTTTGGGATGCGATTTTCACCACCCAAATGCAAATTTTTGCTCCAGGACTGGTCTTCAGCGGTACCGCGGTTAACAATAGAGAGTGAAGTGGTTGAGTGTGTTGACCACTTCACTTACCTGGGAAGTAGGATCAACCCTGGTGGGTTAGTTGCCGATGAGATTTCTGCACGGATACAAAAGGCTCGATTGGCTTTTGCCAATTTGCGCCACCTATGGCGCCGCCGTGATATTCGTTTGTCTATTAAGGGTCGCGTGTACTGCACAGCAGTCCGCTCTGTTCTACTGTATGGCTGTGAAACATGGCCATTGAAAGTGGAAGACATGAGAAGGCTTCAGGTGTTTGACCACCGTTGCCTTCGTAGTATAGGACGTATTCCGTGGTGTCACCATGTGAGTAATGCAGAAGTTAGGTGTAGAGTTTTGGGAAGAAGAGGTAAGTCAGTCGACGAGGTTGTGAACCTTCATCGACTGAGATGGTTGGGACACGTACTACGTATGCCTAGTCACCGATTGCCTCGTCACACAATGTTGGCTGAGGTGGGTTCAGGCTGGAAAAAGGCCCGAGGTGGCCAGACTAAAACATGGCACCAATGTATGAAGTCTCTGACTGTTGGTTTAAGCCATGTAGGACGATGCAGACTAGGTGGTTGGGGTCCACGGGACAAGAGGAACCAGTGGTTGGAGACCCTAGGTGATATGGCTCAGAACCGAAGTCAGTGGCGCTGATGTATACATAAATCATCATCATCTTAATGGCGCCATACCGAACCTCACCACTTTCTCATTCTTCGTTTCTCTCCTTTCGTGCTTTATATTTCTTTTGACTGCATTCTCTTATTTTCATCTTGCACCTCACTGCCTTTTTACTTGATGTACTGATATGGGGTGTGGCAACTCGGGCCGTTACGCAGTAATGTCTGGTCCTATGTTGATTTAGATGGATGGGTGGTGACTGACGAGACAGAGTTTCAGGACTTTCAGGTTTTTAATGGTTATTCCTTTAACATCAACCCATGATGAAAGTTATTTTAAACAAAAAGGTTACATAATCCTTACTACCGACCCAATAATCACCTCATATATTCATATTAGTATCTGCGATAATTTGCGCAGTCCGGTAAGTCAAAAACGGGCTGCTACTAAGTTTCATGGACATGAGGCTAGGTAGAGTGATCTGTAGTTTAAATACACCGTTACTGTGGTGAATTTACCGTTAAAAACTTTAAAATAATCAATGTGGTAATAATAATGATAATAAATTATAATATTATATATACTTTATTCAGAAGCGTAATTCTGTTTACAGTATAGAATTCTCAGCATGTGACATTACATCAGTTTTCTCCTTGGACAACATTTTTCACATATATATTAACAGTAGTGCTGGTTAGCAATATATAATAAAGTATATCTCCACAAACCTCCAGATTGAATATACCAAAATGGTTGAAATGCTTAATGACTTCAGAGTCATGATAACCTTTCGCTAATGCAAAGTTGGTTGATAAGACTACATCTAACATGATTTTCACACAATAAACAAGCTAAATAAGGTATGATAGAATTTTTTGTATGTAGTAGTGTGTGCATAAGGTTTAAGATATTTGCTTCTTATCTTCTCTAAGGACGGATATGGAGAGTAATGCAGATGCACAGGATGCTTATCATCACATAAAACACTTTCAGTCAACTGTCTACAAGAATTCAGATGCCTATCCACAACCCCATTTATCAATATGCTAAGTGATGTACCACTCGCTCAACTAACAGCCTTCAAAATCCCACGCAATACATGATAGTCTTTTTTCCGGAGTCCAGGAAATAATAAAGGGGAACAATAAGTAAGCATAGGCAAAATACAGGAGTTGAAAAAGTGTAAGAATAGAGGCTGGGTTATGTCAGATTGTCTGAGTTTCCTTACATAAAAGGTCAAGCGAAGGACTTTCTAGGAAACCAGCAGAATATCGCGGTGGGACCAAGACTTGGATCTCTGAAAGCCTCGAATGGAGTTTCAAGCACACGGGAAAAAAAACGGTTTTCCATTGTTTTTATGAATGATGAGGCTATCATGATTGGTAGGAATTCCACACTCACTCCAGAAGATATGGACTTTGGTACCAGAATTATTTTAATTTCCTACCAGACGGTTGGTATATCATTTTCGGCAATGGACTTATTAGAAAGGCTCGTGAGTGGATGACATAGAATATCAGCACACCTGCGATATAGAATATCTGGTATGTCATCTGGTGATAGGCTTTGTTACGGTTTCAATCATTTTAAGGATTTGAACACATCTGTCTCACTGACTTTAGGAAAACTGTCTTCCTATAATGAGTAAAGAATCAGATAACATTAGCAGGTTTACGCATGAATGACTGACTTAGTCTACAGACGTTTTCGCAGGCTTCATTTCCGAGTTTTCTCTCGCTAGTAAGATCCATAAAAGTTTTCAATATGCTAGAAGTATTTTTACATGACACAATCTTCTGGTTACACATTTAATTTAATTGTTTTATTGCAAACTTAATCAGGTAGTTACGTCGTTTAATACTAGTAATAACCTACGGTTTGTAAAGTATTTTTTCTCTTCTCAGTCTTTTTAACTGCAGAGAAGAAAGTATACCGAATCTCATAAAAATTATTTCAGCTGGGCAACAAATATCAAGCCAAAAATCTAAGATAGCATGTAACAGCATCGATTGTGTCGTTTACAGTATTATTTTCAAATATTTCCCATTCTGTTTTGTAGCATGCATCTGAGTTTATGTACATTGGTATATGTAAAGCTCCCGCGTTTATTCTTTTCAAATTGGTATTTTAAAGTATTTTCTGCAGTTTGCGATATATTTTTGGTAAAACACATATAATACAGTGATCTGAGTTTAGTAGTGGTACACATTTTTGAGTTTCATATATACCAGGTTCATTAACGAAAACCAAGTCTTTTAATTATAGTAACGATGGAAACTGGCAAGCAGTGAAATCCAGGATGCGCACTTTTTCCTATTTGGGACTCGTCAGCTGGGTGTGGCATCAAAATGAGTTGAAGAACTGACTAGGTTGCTGTGACCATGAGAACACAGGAAGCTGCAGTCATAAGGGTTAAAACCCCCGCACACAACAGATAGTCAATCACACATTATGGGAGGAGCGAATTTCATCAACTTGTCAGTGAATCTGGATAATTCAGAACAGCAGCATTGGTGATGTAAATAAATTCAAATTTATTTAAATGTCTGGGACGACACAACAGTGACACAGTCTATACTGTCATCATAATAGACGAAACATATATAATTGGATGAACACCACCGAGTGTTGATAAAGGTAGCCACACCTCCACCGCAAGTTTTTGTAGAACTACACCGATGATGGCAAAACTATTCGAAACCATTTAAAGAGACTAAATTGTCATCATATAGGTTACGCAACCAAGTCTTCCTGTAATGTTATTACACTAACATTGTGATAAACGTGAGAACATAGGAGACATTGTAAATAGTCCACCTTATGCAATAGAGATTTTCAATTCGAGCCGAGTATTTCGCGTAGCATCATTTGATGTAGTTTTATTCGCTTTAAAGCGTGCTGCCATACACCACGGTGTCTTTTCGTTATTACGTTTCTTAACTTCATAGCGACAGGTTGATAACGTTTCAAAAGTTTGACTGAGTATTTGATACGGTTTGAGGTCATAACTAGACAATCAAAACAAATTAAAATAAAAATAAACTTGATGCAATGTATACGGTGGAAAAACTTAGTACCTCAGAGGTCTAAGTAGGTCGCCTGTTATGACAACTTAAATCGTTTATTAAGACACTCATTAGAATGATATACTTGAAGCCTCCGAGAAACTATCGTTGGTATGAAACTCTGATTTGAGTTGGACACCTCAGTTACTGTTGTAAGGTGCCCAGTAGGACAGTAATAACAAAAGCTTTAATAAAGTGGTTACGTAACAGAAGCTTTTTCATAACACTCATTTCGAACATGAAAGGGCGAAAATAGGGAGTCGAGTCGAATAGAAACTCACTCAGTAACCACGTGCACGTTCGTGCAGTAGCCAGTGAGCCATGCATTTCGTGTGTGGGCTAAGGATAGTAAATGACTGTCCGAACCCCGGTAGGTGGACAAAAGAGCTACAGCTTCACAAAGGTCAAAAATAGATGGAATATTTTTCAAAAATAAAATACGAAAATGAAAAAAAAGCTGTTTACTACATGCATCTTAAAAACTAGAAGGTAACCTAGACTGGGATGACAGCATATCGGTTCAATTTGCCATAATTCTTCACAACTACATGAAAATGAAAGTTGACAAGAAGACAGGTAGTGCAGTAATAATAGTAATAATAGTTCTACACATTTCATTTATCATTTTATAGTTATAATATTCTATTCATACAGTATACTCAATAATATAAAATAATCACGTCACACGGGAAGTAAAACTTGATTTATAATTGAGAAGTACTAAAAATATGATAAAACTTACTCGGTATTCGCTCTTCGATTTTTCATAGTTATTTACATATGAAGCCCTAAAACGAAGAGGTCATGAAGGCCATTACAGCTGTTCGGTGAAAGTGACATCTTACATGCTTAATATAAACTAGAGTCGTAGATAAACACAAAGAAAGACATATGACATCATTTGAGATATGAATACATGAATACATCCAAGACCATAAAGATCAGGGTATCGAGAAAAATACATTGCGAACGTCAGTAGGTTTTATCCAGAAATCTCAAAAGTAAATCATGACAAAAAACTATTACGAAACCGTCTAAGTTATAGGAATACATATGAAAAGAGTATTTTTCATTAATCTACATCACCCATATTCCACTCAAATTCATTAGATCTGCTCACTGGAAATACTAGAAATTTGGTACTTTACCAAAAACAATATGAGATAAAAACAAACATAGAGTAGGACTACCAGTAAACTACATGTGACAGCTCTTTTAGACTACATAATCTCCTACATTTGAGTGGTAGTAAATGAACACAAGTAATTTTAATTTTATTGGGAAATTTCAGAGACTGACTATCTCAGCATCTCTGATGCATCACACGGTAAACAATAAGTAAACAATTCAGTAAGAAAGCGAGTATCATACATCATCCGAAGAAAGTGTATTAAGAAAAATCGTATCTATTAAACGATTGACTTTTTCCACAAAGATACACTGTTAGATGTAAGCATTACCTACATTATGTTTCTAATGATTTCGAATAATACTAGAGATGATACGGCAATGAAGTACAGAAAGCTGACGGGTATCTACAAATTGGAGTGGCCAACTTTGATACATGTTGTATGCCCAGCATTTTACAACCAGCAGAATGTGATGTTAAAGCTTACTAGAATGAAAATACTAAACAAGAAGGTTAATGCTGCTAGAACTCATGAGACAACCTGAACATATAGATGTTTACATTATACAGAAAAACTCATCACCAAGACTTAATGTAGATATACATGCTGTATATATAGATACTGAGTTATGTTTCCGAAAATTTTGTAAGCTCTTTCGGCTTTATTCAATACCTGGTTTGGTTTACCAAAGGCGAGTGAAGAAAAACTTCATATATACATGAACACCTTATGCGGGTAAGTCATTCAAGTCCTCCAGATTCATTCTTTGAGTTAATTTACAAAGTTAAATTGAAATACTTCAAAGGTCTACGTTTCCGCCAATTATGCATCACTCAAGCACAAGCTAGACTTTCAGGCCGTCAGAAACACCGGGTCTATGATGAGGTAGGTGGTTGTTGTTCCAGTTCTACTAAAGCTATAACAATTTTGCTGCCTTAGTATATCACCTTTACTGCATCATGCTATTTAAAAGAAAATGATCACTTATTTAAGTTGTATTTATCATTGGTGTTTGTACCTTACTAAGTCACTACATTTGAAGTATCGATATGGTGTGGTGATGGAAGAAGAAGTGAAAACCTGGTTTTCGATAGGGTTTGAACCAGCGACCTCGGGATTACCGGCTCAGCACTCTACCAACTGAGGTATGAGACTCAGCTGCTGACCCGGTCTTAACCTCATTTTAATGAGCGAGGACTCTGCCAGTCTGTCATGCGAATGCCTGACAGGTAGCTGCAAAACGCATGTCACACAAACTCAGATTTGTAATTAAGGTGTTCAAGAGACCCTACTTTCTTGCAGCGTCTCCGCCTAACAAGACAATATTGTTTGCGCACCCTAAGTCATCCAGATACCCTCTACTCTAGGGAGTAAATCAATCCCTGTCAAGTCGTAGGCATTTGAGGTTATTTTCAATAATACGTCTATAACAAAGCTGAACAGAAACGATGACGGCGGGTATCACTGACAGACATCACTGGTTGTCACTAGTTCAAATGACAACTCTCCGTAAATCCACGGACGACCACATAAGTACAAGTAGGGGTCTTTCATTTGATTGGCGTCACACATTTCGCCGTTACAGTCAGACACTGCCACAACACCTCCGTCAGTCAACAAAGTTGAATGTCACCTCCTAGTCAAGAAATACCGCAATCGTCGGCCACAGATAAGTATTTCTGTCTTCCATAATCTGTCAAAGTCTGATCGATACACCTCCGTTCAGATATGGGAACCTGCCTCGTTTTGTTGAGTTGACTGTTCCCTAACTCCGATCAAGTGTCGTATAACTATGGACCATAAGACCATTTAGGACACGATGTCAGTCGAACTGATTTCCTTAGAGTTATCACAAGAAGACTTATCTCCCTTCTTATAGACTGGGATGATCATCGAATTAGACCAGTATGGTGCGACTACTTCCGACTTATATACACTGCGTGGTACGTCCATCACTCTACTCAGTAATTTCCTACCTCCTTCCTTAAACGTCTATTATGACTAACCCTTAGGTCCTTCTGCTTTGCATCGTTTCAGGTTAGAAACAGCCATCTCAACTTCGATGGGAGTTGGAGAACCGTCATCTACGTCGGATTCATGTTCGAGCTGAAAGCTGGGCGAAATGAAATGTGCTCCCTAACACTCTAGCCACCTGTCAAGAAAGATTGTCACGGCCATATCCTTTTCAGCGATGGTTTCACTAGACACCATTTTCGTCTTCCCAGTTTTCTTAATAAGCCTATATAATTGCCGAGTGTTGCTTAATGCTGGTGCCTTTTCCACCTATTTGGCACTCATTACCCACAACTGCTCCCAACTATAGTGAAGACTCTTAGTCCATTCGCACTTTAGCTGCTCTCGTTCCTCATTATGGTCAGAGTCAGCTGGAATGAGTCTTCTTCGTATGAGGTTGCGGAAATTCACTGGCTGTCACTAACCTTTGGATGTAGATTACCAACAAGCTGTCTTTACTGCTGTTTTCACAGTAATCTGAATATTATGCTGGACTTCATCAAGAATGGAACTACTGCCATGATGAGATAAATGCTTAACCTTGTCCTCCCTTAGTAGAGGCTTAACATTCTTACCCTTCAGTTGAGCAGACGGAGACTTCAGTACTGCTTGTTTTACGCCGTCTAAGACGTAAACCCATGAGTGCCCGTAATAACATGTGATCAGAGTCAGCTGGGTATTCCAGAATGAGCAATAATCGTCTACCGCCCTCTTCAACGATGTCTTGAAGCATTATGATGTATCTGTGCCGATACTTAACATTCTCGTTTTTCAGCCGAGTAGTAATACGGTTCACTGTCCACCCTATTCTGTCACAGTGCACCATGAAAATCGCTATGCAGTGAGGAAACTAGCCTTGGAAATAATAGCATTCGTACTAACAATAAGTTTTTCTAGTTTTGGTATTGTTTAGACAAGTTGCAAAACGTAGGTGTACAGTCCTTTTGCGAGGAGTTTCAAGTGCGACATTTTAGGACAAATTGATTTTGTGTCAGATGAAATAAAAAATGTTTGTGAATGAGCAACGTAAGTTTGTTGCTATGTGACTAATACCGAATAAAGTGCGTAAAGGAAATACAGAAATGTGACAACAGACGGGATAGTTTTTTTTTGTGCGTACAGTTGTAACATGAAGAGCTCAAAATAGCAATAATGAATAATGATGTGTGCACGCTTCACAACTGTCATTAATAGATGGTATGAGAAGTAGTTGTGTGGATACTTAAAACGTGCCACTTTGTCCCAGTGTAATCTGAGTGGTCGCTTGGTGTGTCTGCGTGCGTGTGTGTGTTTATGTATGTACTGTTTCTAGTGTGTGCAACTATATGATTGGTTGGTTTCCGTTCGTCTGCGTGCAGTCTGTTGATGTCAATTCGTTGTTATTGGTCGGGCACGAAAGAAGAAAAAAATTGCAGATAACCGGAATTCTTAGATATATTTGTTAAGAAAGGTAAAGATGGAAACCTTGAGACTCGGGTGTACGGGAAAACAACTCAAATAAATGAGATTCTAAATTGAATGAACAATAAACGGATATCAGAAACGAAAAGCTACTAAAGAACCCTATTTAAACACACTCCAGCACATAAGAATTCAAGATGTCTGAGATGAAAATTTTGTTTAAAATCTTCCAACTCAACGGCATACCACAGAAATTCATCAGATGTCTTTCCGAAAGAATGAAGTCAAATTCTGCCGCAAACTAACAGAAGAATGATCCTCCCACATATGGAAAACGACAGTCAGACTGTTCCATTCGGTTGGAACTGCAGTGTCACAAACTAACAAAATTGCTACAATCATCCTATACAAATTAAAAGACTTGTTCAAAAAAAACGACTAGTGTCATCCAAAAATGCAATTGCAATAGTCGCAAACATCACTACGTAAGATAGTCAGGTAGACCAACGCCTATATGAACACAAGTTGGCTGTCAAACGTCATGAAATGAAGTCTTACATGTCAATAAGATATGAAGAGGAGGATCATACATTCGACTGGGACAACTTCAAAACAGTTGAACATGGAAACTGGACAGATGCCCGAAAATTCTTAAACGCATGAGATTCCAATACTCAAGCAAAAAATCGCCATGTCGACCTGGATGCGATATATGATCCTATTTGAAATGAATCAACTGATCCAAATCCGAGGAAACTCTGGACGCAACGAAAACGGAGATGATCAGCAAATTAAATCACAGCTAACTGAGCTCCTTTACTCAACGAATCAGTGAAAAAGGGCTTTCCCCTCTCCAGTTAAAGCTAATTAACCAGCAGTGACAAGGAACACCCTTTCAATCGGAACAAATTAACCAATCAGCGTGATGGAATCGCCTCCAATATACTCGGGACAACCAGGAAATTCTTCAACACTTTGTCAAACAATGAAGCCAAAGAAGCGCACCGAAGCGAAATCGATGTATTTGCAAGTAGACGAAAGGAAACCAACCAGTCAGATGGTTGCACACACCTTTAAGAAGATAACTGAATACAGGAAGTCAGCACAAATACACTCATCAAGCGACCAATTAAACTACACTAGGACAAAGTAGCACGTTATAAATATCCACATGCAACACGCTACTTCAGTTCTTTATGAATCCCTAATGCACTCATGAGAATGTCTAGCATGACATTCAAAAGTTGTCCAACTGAAACCATAGCTTAGAGAACAACTCACTCTGGACATCGACACACTGAGTTAAAACTATTCGTCACAATTTCGAAATTAAGTTATCCTTCAATCTATAAAATAAGTGGTACTGCACACTTGAAGGACTCGCTTTGTAAACTGCATAGATTCAGTATTACGGACCAACAAAAGTTTCCCGAGTGTTGAAAACAAGAATAATTGATCAACAGAAATTTTCCTTAAATGTCCTATAAATTTAATTAACAGATAGTCCTGATTCTTCAGGTATGGTAGATGACCGTATAATGAATAGTGAACTGCTTTCTACGTAGCTCTTTACAGTTTCAAATATTGACAAAAGTAACTTCGCTGAATACAGAACGAAACTACAATACGAAAAAAAAGTACAACTAGCTTACTTATTATCAGAATCATGCTTATTCACTAGTGTATCCCTTCTTTTTCTACGAGTAGTCACAGCATCCGTAAACTGAGTTGATGAGTCAGAATCAGAAGATGCGCATGAAGATGACGACGATGTAGTTGAAGGTAAATTGTTTTCTGAATCTTCAGTGTCATCACTACTTTCGCCAGGGACTCGAAAGAGATAGGTATGAGATGTTTTTGTAGATTTCTTAGCTGGAAAAAGATAGACAACACAAAATTTTGACACTCCCCAAAATAGATACTGAAATGATTAGTATACTTCTTACAGTTATAAATTTTTGCTTCTTTTCCAAAAGAGGATGGCCAGATGTAAGTGTACTCCAAGTCAAAGCCTCTAGTAGCGAAGTTTTTAATAACATATTAGCCATTATTTTTAGTGTAACTTCAAATGTATCCAACTTATATATCAGCGTTGTGAAAGGTGGTCTGTTTACCGATATAACTATTTTTGGAAAAAAAAAGACAATTTATTGGAATTATTTAATATCAGTATTGAACCCAGAGCTGGGTTTAATTTCAAAATCAGTATCGCTGACATCAGATGTGTGGTTTTAAGTCATGATAATAATATGTAACTCAGTAACATTGTGGGAAACATGTATATTTGGATTAACGATTTTATGAGCTCAACTTCTGAGCGATAGCTTTATGAAATTTGAAATTAAGGCTAATCAAATCAACAGGCTACAAGATTATTTCGAAGGAGGCAATTAGAATTTTTTGGGATGTTTAAAAGTTAAACATGATTTCAATCACTCCTATCAGATAAAATAGCAAAAAAGTTGTCAAGAAAGAAAGTGCGATGAAATATTCCTCCGAAACCATCTGATCATGTCAAGCAATGGATTTCAGAATAGACTTTTTTGGACTGCCAGCATTCACTTGAGTGCATCAAACTATTTAGTCAACGATGAGTCACTACTTTGAACACATGATTGCATAGCTATTGATGAACGTAAGTAGTGGAACTATATAAAGTCCTTAATCCTATCGAGAGAGAAAAAATTTCCTTAATAATCAAATACCATTAGTTCCACTTTTTTCCATAGTTTATTGGAAATTTCTGTCACATTAGCGTAGTCAGAACGTATCTTAAATAGGATAGGAGTAAATTCTTAGCATGTAGACAATGTTTGCATAATTTAAGGCGATATGAAACTCAGATTAGTAGTGCAGCCCAGTACTATTTGTAGACAGTCATATCAAGGAGTTCTAAGACGAATGCATAGCATCCCATCAAAAAAACGACGAAATTGTTCCATCCTATTAAACTATTTTTTACCCAAGAATTGTGAAATATGTAGACAATTACTACTGGTATTACTATGGATATTTTTACTCATAACTGTCAAGCGGTATAATTTTAGTGTAGTGTTTCTAAAAGTCATTATATTACTAAAGTTAAACAGTTTGGTAATCTATAATCAAATTTAATTCACTTTCAAATTTTTTTGAAGTTTTGTATAGGTGGTGTATGAGATTTGGTTTTTCTGACTCAGTTGTGAAAGTGCCTTCAACAATACAGAAACAACAGCAATATTTCGGATTATCACACTCATGAAAAACTTCTTGAGTAGGTCAGTCTCTGACTACTCAGGGATTGACCTAGGCCCTGGATGTCATCTGGTTTACTTGGAGTATGCAGAAGAAATTGCCCTGCTGGATGAAGACACTGACAAAATCCAAGGTCTTCTGAACGCGTTGAGCAGAAATATGAGTATGAAAGGCATTCATCCGCACCTGTCAAGTCCAAAATGATGCTCCAGAACTGGTCTGCAAACACTCTCAGTGAAATGGTGGAATGTGTCAACCACTTCACTAACTTGAGAACTTGCATCAGCTCAAACGGATTGCTCCTTTAGGAAATCTCAGCTCGCATACAGAACACCCGTTTGGCATTCGCCAACTTGCGTCATCTCTAGCGCCCGCTGGCGAGATACCCGACTATCTATCAAAGGAAGAGTATACTGAGCTGCAGTCAGTTCCATCTTGTTATACTGCTGTAAGAGGGCCATTAAAAGTAGAAGACATGAAGTGAATACAGGGTTATGATCATAGGCGTCTATATAGCATTGCTTGGGTTTGATGGAATCAGTGTGAGCAATTTTTGGGTCAAGAGAAGCGTACTAGGCTAGACAGGCTAGTAGATTGACGACGCTGCGAACCTTAGTCGAATGACATGGTTTGGATATGTAAAGCATGCCAAGCTACCACTTACCTCGATATCCAATGCTAGGGGAAGTTGGATTGGGTTGGAAGAGGGTTCAGGGTGGCCAGAGTAAGATGTGGCACCAGTAGATAAAGTCTCTTACTGTTGGCCTGAGCCATGTGGGGAAATGTAAACTGCCTGGCTGGGGTCCCCAAAACAAAAGGAATCAGTGGTAGAGGACTCTTAGTGACATGGCAAAAAATCGATCACAATGGGGTAGACGTATTCACTCCTTGACATCTGAAGCTTGAATATTCACACCAACCCTTATCTTCAGATTCTATATTCTCTCACACTACTTCTTTGATATTAATCTTTTACTATCCACCTGTTCTTTGTTTAATACTGTGAAGTGTGGCAACCTGAGCTGATGCAACTGTGTGCAAAATTCTACGTTGATTTTGTCAATCAATCTTAAAAGATGCAAGGAACTGGAGGCAAATATCTAGAATAGTATAATTTTAGAAAGAACACAAACAACAAGAATCGTCTGGAAGCCGTGAGTTGTGATAACTAGGTGAAGCTATGCAATATGGATGGGAAAGGAATCATCAGTGACTTAAAAATTGTACAAAACTAGTACACAGTTTTCAGTTAGACCAGTCTCAAAACTTAACTGGTGGGATAGTGAAGCTAGTTTGGCCAAACAAAAAACAGCGCTGATGACGGATATCAGTTTAACAATTCTTGATATTCGGTAACTAATCGAATAGATGAGCACTGCTTATTCTTAAATTCGGACAAAACAACTATTAAATGCTCTCTGGTTCTCGAAGTGATGTCAGTCTGTGATGCAAACTCCTTGGAAACCATTCAATCCCCTTAAAAACTTCTTCATTGGTCAAAAAAACTTTTACTGAAATTTACTCAAGTGCAACTACTAGAAGAAATATAATAATCCGTAGGAAAAGTATTCGAAAACCAACCACTCACCTATCTCACACCAGGATTCATCTACACGACTAGATCGGCTAGCGAATACACATGCATTATCATTTGCAACAAATTCACTTAATTCAAGACCATCATTTATAGGTGAACAATTTAATCTGGATTTATGATATTTAGCCGAGTTATTTTGTGAATTTGTATTAAAATCATGACCAGTTGCATCTTCGTCATCTGAAAAGTAATTAGTGATTTTGGAAGTTGGACACTTTGATTCACCTACTAATAATTGTTTTTTAATCCACTCAGCACACGGCATATTTTATAGGGAAGTGGTTCAGTGAATGTATCTTGCCACGATGTAAAGTATCTGCATTAAAAAGAAAAAGGTAAGAAAGAAGAATTATTGATAAAAGTTTCCTGAAACATCAACTACATCTCATGAAATTAAACTTACATTTTAGTGAATTTGACTGTCTACTTAAATTGAATTAACTATAATCCAATATGTTGAGTAACTGAGAACAGGTCTGTAATAGATGAGAAAGTTTATAGTTTAAGACAAGGATGATAATTTGTTTGTTTTTCTGTAGGCTTTGAGGTTTCCTTTTGGGCGTTTCGTTACCAGGATAGGTGGCCTCATCAGCATTTACCCTACTTCTTCATGGAGTCAATACAGTAGTATATACTGTATTCATCTTAGTGACTCCCAGTGAAATCTGATTTAGGATTCGTCAGCTGGATGTACCTACACCCAGTGAGTGGTTGTTCTCATGGGGACTCGAACCCAGCGTCCATCGCTTCAAATGCCAAAGAGTTATCCACTAGGCTACTGGGTGCGAGAGCCAGTACTTGCGCAACGGGTATTACTTGTTGCTGTTCGATACTTGTGACTTCTCGTTGCTATACAGGGACCAATTACTTGGCCTCTTTGGAAGTTTGTGGGGATTTATTTATTGACTTCAGGTTGGCATCGCTCGACCTATGTTGGAAGATGGGCTCCTATGCAGATACCTCAATATTGCCAGATATTCATGATATTGTAACCATTTTGGTGCCTCCCCGTGGAATTCAGGACGCGCGTTTCGTCCTATTTCGGACTAGCCAGCTGGATCCACCTGTCATCATGCCCCAGTGGATACAGTTTTAGAGTTCGGAGAGGTGAGTACGAGGTTCGAGTCCCAGTGGGAACAAAATATCACTTACTGGGATGCAGGTACATTTAGCTGACGAGTCCTAAATAAAACGAAACTCGAATCCTGGATTCCACTGCTAGTCACCAAGACGAATGTAACATCGCGAATATCCAGCGATATCGAGGCACCCCATAGGAGCCAATTAGCAACAGAGGTCGAACAAATTAACCCTGTATAGTAACGAGAAACTACAAGTACCAAACAACAACAGCAGTACATATTCATAGTAAACATATATTCATATTAACGAGCAACTATAAAATCGTTTAAGACTGCATTCATTCTAGATGCTATAATACTGTCACTTTAATTATGATCATTTCGAGGGTTAACGTACGCTGAAAGTAAACGATATATTGGTTACCGTCAAGAGAGATTAGTGTTTAGTAGTAACAGTTTATATATATATATATATATATATATATATATATATATATATATATATATATATATATATATATACTGTGAAACTAAGCAAAGACCTCTCAATAGCAAAAGTCAATTACCTCACAATATTTTCGTGTTGTAAACCTGAGAGTGTGCGAATTTCACGGAATAAAGTGTCCGTTTGACTTTTCGAGGCTTTTACGCATTTGATAGCATAATCACGATCTTCAATTATATTTCGTGCCTTGGAGGTTTGAACAAAATGAAAAGAACTAATATGGCATTGTTGGTAATATGGGTTGAAGAAATCACGATTAAACTGAATGTGACAGTAGAAAAAATTATGATAACTAGGCATATATTGAAGTGTTGAACAGAAACTTTATGGACTACAGGCACAGACAGAATATTAGTGGTAACTGTTTTAAATCGATGTGTGTTAAAGCTGAACACAAATTATCCAACTTTGCCAACTTCAAAATAAGTGCGGTTTCATTAACAGACTAGGTGACTTCATCGGCATTTACTTCATAAAGAAGTGAGGCATTTTTGAGTCGCATGAAGAATATTCGCCTAACTTGAGCTTCATTGGCTAGTGGGTAGGGACGACCAGTCCTTTTCTTATCAGAAGTTCACCTTTAAAGTTGCTGTCATCGTTTGACTTGTGCTGTTGACGAAATGCCTGACTATTGATCTGCTAGATTAACTTCCAGTTGGCTGGTCCCTTCTTAGTAGTCCGTGTTTCGAGTCAGTGACTAAGTGTTTGGGGAGTGCCGTTTGATCGGAGTACCGGGATTTCAGGGATTCTCTTGCAGCTCTTTAGCTTGATTGTTGTAGTATCTTCACGGTGTGCCAATCGAAGTTGAGGTTGTGTTCATCTATATGAATTTATCATCAGTGATGATATATCGTGCCGTTTGACTGCTAGTTGGTGCTCACAACGTATTTGACCTATTCGACAACTATATTGGTCAGCAGTGATATTGAGTGTTTGCAGCTTATTTTTCTAGGTAATATTCATCTTGTCTTCTTTGGGTAGTGGACCCTTTAGCTTGTATACGATGTTTTGCACGCATTTGGTTTGTTTGTGCACGGTGCAGATACTGAATGAACAAAGTGATCGGTTGACAATTTCTGAGACATTTTTGATGTAAGGTAACTTTCTTAATATGTTTTCTGTTGATAGATATTTCCTGACGCCTTTGGTTAGGTAGTCACCTGTTCTTAAAAATTTGCAAAGGTGGTTTTCTTCTGACTTCCGCAGTTGTTGAGTGCTACAGTGAGTTTTTGGCACGTGCGAACAGTGCTTGCAAACAATTCTACTTGTGTTGTCTAGTGTTCAGTGCTTGATATGAAACTGGTTACTTCGCAGTGACCAATTAATGTATCTAATCCAGTCCTACAGCTCAGTCTCCGCCCGAATAGATCAGTGCTAACGTCTTTGACTGCAGAATTGGGTGATGCGGGTTCCAATCTCATAAGGAACATCAGTTCCCTCGATGTTTCATATACCCTTTGCTGATAGAACCTAGGTCAGGTAGGGGTTCCTATCAACTGCCTCCAAGTAAGTAACACTGCTGACTATAATAAAAAGTGATCGATAAAATTCGGCCAGCACTTAGGACTGGTAAACATAAAATTGGTTACTTTCCGACGACCAATCAATGTAATAAATATTTCTCTGGAGTAGGATTTTAACAGTGAGCTGCAATCACAGCTAAACTAACAGAGGTAGTGTATTGAAAGTGATTTATTGACATGAAATGAACCACCATTAAGGTCAGTTCAATCAACCTACTCAAGAAATTTCTTTTAAAATTTTAATTATCAATGCAAAGGAAATAAAAACAAAATGTGATGGTATAAGGTCAAATAAAGGTTGAAGATACCTTCAGTACACAACCAAAACCACCTTTTCCAATTAATGTGAAATCAGTAAAATCTTCAAACAACCGAGGACATTTGGAAGTGAGGTTCCCATCAACAATTTGCGAATCTATAAACCAAAGGTAATAGTTAAAAGATAATTGAAAACCTTATAACCACTGGTTAGAGGATTTGAACAATTACAAAGAGCAGAACCTCAGTAAATTTGGGAAGATTAAACACTTCAATCAGTATACGCAGACCGTAAGCAATCCTACACTGTATAGCATAATCGGGCCATACGTTGATTGGTCACTGAAGAGTAGCCAATTCCACACTGTTTAGTCTTAAATGCTGCGTGAATTTCATTTTTCATTTTGTAATGTGGCTAGTAAGAACACCATATCCTTCAAATGGATTATGTGAAAAACAACACGATTACACAAATACACATAAGAGAATCTGAAGTGATATTCAACATCAGCGTGCCACGATAAAGTCATCAAAATCCTACTTTTGTTTTCTCTAAGTACAAAGAAGTTCATGCAAAACAGAATGCCGCAAATGAATCCCTGTAATGCCTTTATATGGCTGATTATACGCAGAACCCGATCTTTCTCTAAAATTGTCCTAATGCCACTAAGCATGCATAGTCTCTACTATGGAAGCTGCTATTCACAGTCTTAATGTGACAGGTGGCTCAACAAAGTTAGAGGGTGAAACAAAACATCCAGAACTCATTGTCGGATATGTGCACAGAGACGGTTCACCTTAAAGCGGTTTGGTAACCCCGACTTCAAACCACTGGTGTATGAAGACTCCAGGATCCTAAAGGAACGAAAGTCGTATAGACCTAATTAGGTCACCATGAGTTGGGGAAATGGAGCTTCGCTACCCTGTAAATTCACCTTGAAGTCGTGGGCTTGAGTAGTGGTCCACGAATACTGACAGTGTCTCAGTCCTCACATAAATGATGGTACAACATTTAGCAAATAAAATCTAAAAGTGCTGACACAACGCGATTGGTTGCACCTAGTGCTGCGACAAGATACCCTAACGTCACTAAAATCAAGGCTAGCTCCTCATCGTAGCCCTCAGAAAGTGTATACAAGCATTGGCTACAGTTTAAATATGCCAAAATGCACCCGAAGGCTTGCAGAACTTCCCACTAATAAATACTAGGTCTCTTCAGAGTCGTTGTAATTTGTTGATGTCAACCAGTTTTTTGAGGCGGAAAGCTGGTACTGTGTTTTGCGTGAGTCCATTATACAAAAGACTGCACATCACTTACGTAAGAACTGAGAGGCTTGATCACAATGAGCAAGTGAGATGGCAGTAACATTCCCATCTAACAACAGCCGGAATGTTTCAGCTAATCCAAGTCACCGGCAGCAAAATGTTTAGTTTCAATGAGATGGTCTGGTGATCTCCGACTTTCTAAGATTTCCGAATCGCTGGGTAGAACCTTTCTAAAAACAATGAAGCCTTTCTATCACGGCAATGATTCCAACCCAAATTCACTGTGTCCTAAGATGGACTTAAATCGATCTATCTGATGAAATCGAGTTCCAGAAAAAACTCAAGACACTAAGTTGCAACAAGAAAGCCCACCTAAGTAAATCACCCTCAGAGCTCTTTATGGATATAGAAATATGGCAAGGCTCTTCAAAGTGATATGGCAGACTGAGAGTTTAAAATAACCCTGGAATAAGGTTATCATAGTTCCCATCTCCAATACAGATTAGGTAATGTCTGTGACGATAATCGAAGTCGTTTAGGTTCGCAGTGCACTGACCACGTGTTCTGCTTTGCCTAAGGATCACCACATGCAAGCAAAAGTCCCTGTTTCTTGACACCAGTATTACCTTAAGCTGGGATCCCCTGTTAGAGACGGATACCAACTAAGAAGTGTAGTAACTACCTAAAAGTCCTATACGAAGAAATATTAGGTAGGATAAGGAAATAGACAAATTGATCACCAGTGGGTAACCGATACGACTCTCTAGTCCTTAATGCATAGCAGTAATCGAATTCTATCGACCACGTTTCGCAATGCGGCCACTAAGCGAAGTGATCAACGGGCTTCGATTAGTGCTGAGCACCAAGAACTGGACAGCTTTATGGGCTACTTACTAATGTGCATAACCCAGTCCCTCAATGGATCAGTTGCCGTCTGAGTAGCTCAGTGGCTAAGCCTCTGACTTCATCACTGAATAATCCAGGCTCGAACCAAAGAAGGAACACCAGTTTTGGAATCATTACAGATAAGCCTTGCCAATGAGCACCATTACGCAAGAAATGTAGGTCCGTGGCTCCCTGCCGACTGTTTCAAACCAGTAGTGGGTTCAGGTAGAGTTGTCCGATTTCGCGATATCGCTTTACCTTTGCCATCGAAGACAGTCCCAAGGCAATTGTGTGTGATGGTGTAAATTTGCTACTACGAGGAAGACTTCTAGACATTGGGTTTGCAAACGATATCATTTATTAGTATACTGCAGCTTGGTATATAGAATTCAAGAAACAATGCAACTCACTAGCTGGAGATATCATAAGATATGGCTCAGAATTGAAAATAGATGCTATCATGTTGCAGCTTCCTCATACGTCCTGCTGTAGGAAACGACAAGATGGGGACGAAGGAAGAAATTTTTATCGTTGACATCTTGTACAAATGTACATTTGGACAATGTGCTTCATTTTCTCTTTTGCTTCTATCTTCATTTGCTCTTAATACACCCACATTATCTCTTACGTTTCTCTGGGCAGAATCTTAACCCATTGCTGGTAATTGCCTATGATTTCTGCCGCCTTCTCAACATATACTACTTATATCTATTCTGATCAGCAGCGCCCACTACACTACTACTGAAAAAAAGCAGAAAAGTAATGAACGTTTTCCTGAACCTATCTTGTAAGGCAACTGACCCAAGCATTCCGTTATTTGAAATCTATTTTCCTTTTCGCTTTATATGTTGTAGTATGGTTTCTTGGTACCCATGCTGTATTAAGTTTGTGCTTAAAATAAATACAACTGATGATGTCTCGTCCCAAACAAATGCAAAACGGAGAACTATACAATTCAACTATATACCGGGCACAATATCATTTGTGAATCGAGCTTGATATCGAAATTACAGCGGTCGAAATAAAGACAATAAGTTAGGAGATATCCTGAGTATACTGAGAATTTTTTCGATTTTCAAAATGAAAAAAACTGTGACATGCGTGATGAAAATCAGCCAACTACCAAAATGAATAAATAAACCTCAATGGAAAGATACAGTCAAATACGATTGACTTTAGGAAGCCTCAAAGGATGGGGCACACACTTACCTTGATTGCTTAAAGTACGCGTTCGACCTGTCGCTTCATCTATGTTCGCGTTCACTCTCGTTTTATTTGAAATAAGAGGTGATATATAATGGGGAACATTATCGTGCAAAAATTGATGTGACATCAGGAAATCAATCAGAGAAGTTTGATTATTATTAGTAGCAGTGGTAGTAGAAAATAAACATGTTTGTAGGAAGTCTTTGAAAACCGGTTGAGTCACCTCTAAACTCTCTAACAATTGAGATACAAATGGGGTTATGTGGTTCACATTGGTATAGGGTAGTGGTCCAACGAGAAGATGAAGTATAACAAAACCCTATGAAAAGTAAAGCAATCACAAAGTTTCATTTTTGAAAGTCTCATATATAGAGTATTTCTAAGAAATTCATCTTGGTCCAAACTATGCATTAGAACAAGACATATGCTTATACTGTTTTCAATTAGATCCTCCTCAGGCTTTGCTTTGATATAAACAGCAAAAATATACATAAAACTAAACCAATTACGTAGATTTGTCGGTTAACGTCATAAATTTTAAAAATAATGGTGATAATGAAAATAATAAAAATGATAGAGCTGACAATGTTCCCTAAAACAGTTGTAATTTAGACGATAATGATGACAAGAACCAAAAAAACATGAAAACGTAGAAATTCCAATCATATCAATGTGGGTCAAATGCTTAGAAAAATAAAAGCTGCGTAATACTGAAGGATGAAGTGGACAAATAAAGTAGTACAGATGATGCAGGATTAAAACATATATAACATCAGTGTTGCTGAACGGCTAATTGGTTGCAAAGAGTGCTAACTTTCTTGAAATAATTGCCATTTATTTTTCCCCTATTTCACTGATAACTTATCGAACAAATGGTGGCAAGAAAATGTATATGACAAATCAATTCTCACCATTCTTGAACATCACATCATTAGAACGTGAAAATCTTAAACCAGTAAACTTCGTTCGGTAAGATTCTTGCTTCTGTATACACGTTTCTTTTGAAAATAGACCCGCATATATTCCAGTCTTTCTGGATATGGATTGAGTAGGTATTCATAATGGTGTATGTTTGTTAATTCATCATATGCACTTAAAAACTGAGTTCTCCCAAAGGTCTGTCACTCAAGTATCGACAACTGTGTATCAATGTACTCCAGCGTAATTGATGACTTCCGGGTTCTTCGATCTCTAAATTATGTTGTCTATCCAAAGTGCATAAAGGTATTCCCCTCCATCTGATACTAGGTATGATTAATTTCCCTTACCATTCTATTGCGAAGTTCCTCGTTGAGATAATTGAAACAGCGAAGAATGAAATTTTGAAACAGCTTGTGTGACACATTTCACATTGTTGATTTTATCAAGAATATCAATCTGTCATCGGAGATAATGATTTCGCTGATGTCATCTCCGTGTTTACAAACGTCCAACTAACAGAAACTATTTGCTTTCTGTGCGACTTCATCCGATCCCATAACACAAACGCTGGTATCCTAAATCACTACTATTAAAAAATTCTTCTTAGCTTTACTTTCAATGTGAACTAGAGATTTAACAACAAAATCTACAGAAAGACAAAAGGCGCGGCAATAAGATCGCCTCTAGGACTCCTTTTGGCTGATTCTTTTATAAGAAACCTGGAAAACAAAACTTTTTCAAAAATATTAAACAAGTTCCACATCTACAAAGGACGTATATTTGTGACGATAACACTAAACTCGAAAACCTACTTAAAACATTCAATACTGCTCATCCCTCTATCGAATTCACTCTAGAAGCAGAATCAAATTTAAAATTCCACTTTCTTGATGCTCGACCGACAGCTGCTACTTTGACGTGGTGGTCAGGTTTGTATATCACAATGACCCAACGAGATATGCTGATGAAACGCTTGTTTCCTCGAGACCCTTCCATACCAGAAATGTCTGTTGGATAGCGGTTACACAAAAAACAGTTACAATTATAGTGGAAACTGCGACGGGATGGGGGTGAGAAAGTGAAATCGGATTATTGCCTGGACGGGAGTGTGACGGTATTAAGGTGTTACCGTTAGATGACCAGCAGTGCTATGCTGATGCTGCCTTCCCTATGACAAGAGGGTGTCAGAAAAGCTTGGCTCAAAAAATAACACTCTCCCATCACCTCATGGCATGCCGATGCCTGCAACATGGGTTCATAGACGGATTTTAAAATCTCAAACTTCCAAAAGGCGATGTGTGAGTGGTCTCAAGCAGATATCCCATGGACTTGAAGTCACACAATATCCCATATTTTCAGGTACCTCAATAAGAACTAGCCTTACACGATGCAGGCAGTTGGTAATTGTCAACCGCCCGCCCGCACGCTTCCAGTAGTACACAAAACCCAATCGAACATAACCTGTAGTCATAATGATAAATGACTTTAAAGCTCAAGTAGGGAATTTGAGCTAGTCGGAAAGGCATCACGGAGGTATATACGGAATCCATGCCAAAAAACCGACAACTGTGATCATCTGTTGCAATCTTGTCCAGATAATCACTTGTTTCTGGCCAGCACTAACTTTCAGCATGAAAGAGGCAGTCTTACATGGTATCAACTGAAGTCAAACCAGCAATGAGCACAGAAAGATTACATTGTTGTGAGCCATCGTTTAAGAAAATCGGTGGAGGATTGCCGCTCTTTTTGAAGTGTCTGTTTGGACTCCGATCATGCGCTAGTACGGACTTGTGTATGTCTGCGCCTCATTGGTCAATCGGAAGAGGAGGAGACTAAATGAGCATGTAGGAAGGAGTTAGCTAAGCATGTATCTGAACATGATAGCAATGCTCATCCTGAGGAAACCTGGCATGATATTAGGACTGCTGTAGGAAAAGTGGTAAAAACAGTATCTAACCTACACCCGAAGGTTAGCGAACGTCAATATGTTTCTCAACGTCATCCGAAGTGACTGATTAATGCGAGATTTATTCTAGCTGGCTATGACCACGATGAAGAGCGAAAGCACTTAAACGTAAGTTGACCAAGAGTCTTCGCAATGATCGCTAGCAGCCAAAGTGACGAAAGCAGAGATGGAGAAGACACCAGCAGTGAGTAACATCCGGTAATCAATTAGGCCTATTAGGACACCGGTAAGAAGACGATGGTTAGTGAAACCACCACGGAAAAGGATGGAACGCTAATTACCTCCCAGGACAAGCGGCTAGAATATTGAGCGAAACACTCTAACCGATTCTCAGCAACGCTTCAGTTGCCCAACATCCACCCTCAACTTGAATGGCACGTAGATTTCGATCCTACAACTTCATTGAAGTTGAGAAGGCGGTATTGAACCTGATATGGTTCAAAGCAGCAGGACCTGACAGTTTGCTACCAGATGTTTTCAAGGATGGAGTTAATAAATTGTAAATTAAAGTGACGGAGGTACTAAACAGTGTATGGGAATCAGATGTAGTCTCGTCAGACTTATCTGCTTCACTGATCATTCCAGTCTATAAGAAGGGAGATAAGTCTCCTTGTGACCATAGGCGAATTTGTTCGACTGATATTTTGTCCAAGATTCTAGGGTCCATAGTTATCTGATGGCTAACTGGAACTGGAACTTGAGAAAACCAAGTAAGTTTCAGGCCTGGACGAGAGTGCATCGATCATATTCTCACCTTCTGACAGGTCCTGGAATACAGGGACACTTACCGGAGGCTGATACTTGCCGAATTTCTCGGCCTGAAGGCAGCATTTAACTCAGTCGACCGTGAGGTGTGGCACTGTCTGACTGTAAAGGGAGTACAGGGCAAGTACATAACACAAATCAAAGCTCTTTAACTCACGCAGCTGTATCAAGGCTTATAGAGAGTTGTTAAGCGACTTGAAGACAACTAGTGGTGTCCATCAGGGATCTCCACTATCACCGTTCCTATTTAACTTCATCATTGACGTACTAATGGATATAACCTTAGGTACGTCTGACTTCACAAGGACGTCATTGCTTGACTTGGAGTATGCAGAAGAAATTGCCCTGCTGGATGAAGACACTGACAAAATCCAAGGTCTTCTGAACGCGTTGAGCAGAAATATGAGTATGAAAGGCATTCATCCCGCACCTGTCAAGTCCAAAATGATGCTCCAGAACTGGTCTGCAAACACTCTCAGTGAAATGGTGGAATGTGTCAACCACTTCACTAACTTGAGAACTTGCATCAGCTCAAACGGATTGCTCCTTTAGGAAATCTCAACTCGCATACAGAACACCCGTTTGGCATTCGCCAACTTGCGTCATCTCTAGCGCCCGCTGGCGAGATACCCGACTATCTATCAAAGGAAGAGTATACTGAGCTGCAGTCAGTTCCATCTTGTTATACTGCTGTAAGAGGGCCATTAAAAGTAGAAGACATGAAGTGAATACAGGGTTATGATCATAGGCGTCTACGTAGCATTGCTCGCGTCTGGTGGAATCCCTATGTGAGCAATGCTGAAGTCAAGCGAAGGGTACTAAGCAAGAAGGGCAAGTCAATTGATAAGATTATGGACCTCCATCAGCTGAGAAGACATGGATATATGTTCCAGATCCCGACCAACCGACTATCTCGACGTTCCCCGCTAGGGGAAGCTGGATTAAGTTGGAAGAGGGTTCAGATCAGGACGTAGCACCAGTTTATGAAGTCTCTGATGGTTGGTGTTGGTCGTGTGTGGGAAATGTGGACTACCTGAGTGGGGTCCAGGAGATGATAGGAATCAGTGGTTGATAACTCTTGAAGACGTGGCTGAAAGTCAGTCGCAGTGACGCAAATGTATTCACTGTCTGAAGTCTTCTAAAGCTTAAATATTCTCACTAACCTTCATCTTCAAATTGTTTATTCCCTCACAACTTTGTCCACTTTGCTATCACTCTTTTTTTATCCACTTGTCCCTTGTATACTACCATGAAGTGTGGCGACTTGAACCGATACACTTGTGTGCGAGGTTGTACGTTGATTTTGTGTCTGTCTGACTTGTCTAATGTCCCACTCAAAGAAAAGATTACAACTTAATCCAGAGATATATATACAGAAATTCAACTTGGAATGGACAGTTTATTTAACTTTCAAATTACTGTCTTACTAAGCAGAAAAAAGAATCCTATAAATTCACTCTCTTCATGAATGCGAAAAATATACACAGAGGTCACCACCGATGATGAATTAAATTTTGTATCGAGTATGACCAAACCACCCAAAAGGAGTAAGAATAATACATCTGCAAATAGCTGAAGCAATGGTGATTCCAAAGTTCAAACCGCCATTGTGCCTCAGAACGGAGTATTTGAAACCTCCCTCTTTTTCCCATGATCATCGTTAAAGGATCGGTCACTCTAGATAATTGCATCAAGAGTTAATTATATCTTTTAAGCACTTGTTGATTTGTCTATATATATTACATAACTTTTCTTTTTTATCCAATGCATTTTGACCTAGGCCCGAAAGTTACTCTGGAATGTCCTATCCTTCCTACTTATGTTCACTAATGTATAGCTAAGAGAAAGAGTTAAACGAAAACAAAATTTCATTTCCGTTGCAATCGTCTTCTCTTTTTTCTTTTAGTTTATAACACCAAAAAACCCTTCTGAGATCATTGCTACTAATCTCATAGTGTTGATATGATCCGTTAAATAAATTGTATACAACTCATACTTTGGCAGTATTTTGCAATTATTCTTCAGCATCCACTTGTATATCAACCGATCGACAACCCTACCAAACATATCTAAACTTAGAAAAGGAGCTAAAGAGTTACACTTTACGCACTAGTCAGCTTAAACACAACAGGCAATTAGATCTTGAGATATTACTTTTCGCGATAGGAACTGTTGATACACAAAGTTTACAAAGGTGGCAAAGCAATCACTCATTTAGACGTTGGAAGTGAAACGTAGTCGGTGACTTTAATGGACAAGGACGGCGATGTAACAATATTCCTAAAGACGTTTCGATTTTCTGAATTACAATACCGCAAACAGCCAGTCATCACAAATTACACAGAAAAAGAAAAACGATCTTCTGTAACCTATACAGGCATTGTCATGACCAACGAAATGAAGTATGCACTGGATTCAAAAAAATACGACAGCAACAGGCAAGCTTCAGGAAGTACAAATCATGTGCCGACCAAATTGCAACGCCTCGCATCATCAAAGAACGGAGTATAGAATGGCAGTCAACTCTCTACCTCAACTTCATCGACTTCGAAAAGGCATTCGATAGCGTCGACCGAGAGGTAATTTAGAAACTGCTTCAATACTATGAAATACCGCAAACCCTTATCAGCCTCACTCAACAACTATATGAAGACGCCATATGCCAAGTAGTTCACAATGGAAGGCTCAGTGAAGACAAGAAGGAGTAAGACAAGGCTGTCTAATATCACCGACCATCTTCTTGATTGTGGTCGACTGGATCATGCAACAAACAGTGGGGAGCCAGAAGAGGGCCATACGCCGGACTGATGAAAAGGCAATGTAAGATTTGGATTTCGCCGATGATGATTTATGTCTAATGCCTTATGCGCATAAACTGGAAGATCTATAGGCGAAAACTAACAAGTTGTCAGAAGAGGCAGCGAAGACAGGACTTCAAGTGAATATAGAGAATTTACGAAAAGGTCAATGAAGTTAATAGGAAACATAGGAATAGGAAGGGATAGAAAAGGAAAAGAAAAACATTCCTGGTATGAAAATTAAAATCAATACTACCAAGGTAGGTTCAACGTGAGTACAAATTGTTTTTGTATACATAAAGGGGGTTTAAATTTACGGATGGCAAGAGCTTCAATAAATTTAAGCACTCGGCTCTGACCACTTTTATGTAGTACTTTAAAGGCTGTTTTCATGTCTATCCTATGGTTAGTTTCTAGTATATGTTTAGCGATAGAGAAGACAGAGGTGATGAAGATACCCAACCAACAACAACAAACTCCAATCACCATCAACGAGAGATACTTAAGGGAAGTAGCCTGCTTCACCTATCTAGGAAGCACTGTCTCAACTACACGCGGTGGCACAGACGAGGATGTCAAAACCAGGATCGGTAAAGCAAGACAGACTTTCATTAGCCTGAAATCAGTATGGAGATCTACTGCACTCAGCATAAAGAACAAGATCCGGATTTTTAACACTAGGTCAGTCGAGTCAGTGCTTCTATATGGTTCAGAAACTTGGCGCGTCACGAAAAGCAATTCCAACAAACTACAGACATTCATCAACAACTGCCTACGCTGGCTCGTTACTGAAGATCAGATGGCCAGAAAGAATAAGCAACAAGGAACTTTGGCAACCAACCAACCAACCAAGAACCTATCACCCAACAAATATGCAGAAGAAAGTGGAGATGGATTGGGCATACACTGAGAAGGCCGACTAGGGACATCATGCTCCAGGCCGTCGAGTGGAATCCAAAGGGGAAACGACGAGTTGGGCGTCCGAGGCAAGGGTGACATGGAGGAGGTCATGTGAGGAAGAAATGAAAGCTTTCGGGCAGTGGTGGAGCCAGGTTGAAAAGACTGCAGAGAACAGAGTGCAATGGAGACGCGCTACTGAAGTCCTATGTTCCACTAGGAACCCAAGGGAAAAAGAATAATAATAATAATGATAAACCGTCACATATCAGATGTAACTCATTAGTCTCTACCGGGTCGTTGAGCTGCTGAGTGTAGATAAGTTATTTAAACTAATAGTAGTATAAAAGCACTGTTCTAATAATAACATCTTATCGTCTAGAATTAACTTTATTTTTTGTCATGGCAACTGCATTCATGATTATTCTTAATTTATAAATCTAGTTTAATTTGTGTCAATTCAGTCTTTTCGACTTTGCAGTATATTATATTGCGTTGAGTCACATCAATGAATATAGGTGAGTTGCTATTGAAATATATATGAAGGAAAATCGGTATTTATGTATCATAAAATGAAATTTTACGAAAGTAGTTCATCTTCCAGACTATTTCTTGTACTAACAGTTCAGGTGGTTGTCATATATGTGAGCTATTATTTCTTACTAACTGAAAGTTTTCAACCCGATAGCCTATTCTTACCTCTTGTGATGCTCTTTCATATTTAGTGTTTCCATAGTTTTATACCATACTAATGTCTGATTTAGCTGAGACACTACATTATTTCCAATCCAAAACTGGATAACGTCATAATTCCTCGTGTATTGATTACAGCGTATAACCGATATAAGTGACTATTTGGTGTACACACTTCATCCAGATTATTATTTTATTATTTTTCCCTTGGGTTCCTAGTGGAACATAGGACTTCAGTAGCGCGTCTCCATTGCACTCTGTTCTCTGCAGTCTTTTCAACCTGGCTCCACCACTGCCCGAAAGCTTTCATTTCTTCCTCACATGACCTCCTCCATGTCACCCTTGCCTCGGACGCCCAACTCGTCGTTTCCCCTTTGGATTCCACTCGACGGCCTGGAGCATGATGTCCCTAGTCGGCCTTCTCAGTGTATGCCCAATCCATCTCCACTTTCTTCTGCATATTTGTTGGGTGATAGGTTCTTGGTTGGTTGGTTGGTTGCCAAAGTTCCTTGTTGCTTATTCTTTCTGGCCATCTGATCTTCAGTAACGAGCCAGCGTAGGCAGTTGTTGATGAATGTCTGTAGTTTGTTGGAATTGCTTTTCGTGACGCGCCAAGTTTCTGAACCATATAGAAGCACTGACTCGACTGACCTAGTGTTAAAAATCCGGATCTTGTTCTTTATGCTGAGTGCAGTAGATCTCCATACTGATTTCAGGCTAATGAAAGTCTGTCTTGCTTTACCGATCCTGGTTTTGACATCCTCGTCTGTGCCACCGCGTGTAGTTGAGACAGTGCTTCCTAGATAGGTGAAGCAGGCTACTTCCCTTAAGTATCTCTCGTTGATGGTGATTGGAGTTTGTTGTTGTTGGTTGGGTATCTTCATCACCTCTGTCTCCTCTATATTCACTTGAAGTCCTGTCTTCGCTGCCTCTTCTGACAACTTGTTAGTTTTCGCCTATAGATCTTCCAGTTTATGCGCATAAGGCATTAGACATAAATCATCATCGGCGAAATCCAAATCTTACATTGCCTTTTCATCAGTCCGGCGTATGGCCCTCTTCTGGCTCCCCACTGTTTGTTGCATGATCCAGTCGACCACAATCAAGAAGATGGTCGGTGATATTAGACAGCCTTGTCTTACTCCTTCTTGTCTTCACTGAGCCTTCCATTGTGAACTACTTGGCATATGGCGTCTTCATATAGTTGTTGAGTGAGGCTGATAAGGGTTTGCGGTATTTCATAGTATTGAAGCAGTTTCTAAATTACCTCTCGGTCGACGCTATCGAATGCCTTTTCGAAGTCGATGAAGTTGAGGTAGAGAGTTGACTGCCATTCTATACTCCGTTCTATGATGATGCAGTTTTATGCCATTCAGGGCGTTGACATTCGTCAGACGGCCTGTGTTCACTACTAGTTCTCCCGCCCCTGGTGGTATTTCTGGACGAAATGCAGGTGGTGGTCGATTCGAGAGCTTTTTGAAGTGGTCAGCCCATCATTTCCTTTTCTTCTCCTCTTTGGTAACTATATTTCCTTCATCATCTTTGACTGGCTTCATCTGTGTTGATCTCTTCCCAGATAGTAACCTGGTTATTTGATATGATGTCAGGTCTCTCCTACCTACAGCCTGTTCTGCTTCACTTGCCAATGTGTCGTAGAAGTGTCTTTTCTCTTTGCCACACTCTTCTTTACTTCCTTGTCCAGTGTTTTGTACGTCGTACTCAGTTCTTTTCCTTGTGCATCCCTGCACTGCACTGGCTCATCTTCTGCTTCACCATCTTCCTCTCCTTTCTCTATCAGCTCCCATGTGTCCGTCGAGATCCATTCTTTGTCTTGTCTCCTCTTCCTTCCTAATACAATTATGGAGGTTTCTTTCCACATCCCTTTCAAAGAGTTCCAGTGTTCATCCACGCAGGTCCCTTCAGGGATGTTGCTCGATATCTCCCATTTTCTTCTGATGACTGACATGAAGATGTCCTTTGTAGTTTCGTGCTTCAGTTTCCGTTCTGGGCGTTGAACTTGAACTGTGGTCTATCACCAACCTCTGTGAAGGCTTCCAACTTTATTTTGAAGGTAGGTTCCTTGCACTAGACAGTGAGTGGTGTGAACCTACATCTGCTCCCCTTCTTGATCTTGTGTCCAGTAGACTGCGTCTCTACTTTCTTCAGATTGGGATGAAGTCGATCTGATTTTTAGTGTGTCCTGGTGTCTGGTAAAACCCATGTCGCTTTGTGAATATCCTTGTGCTTGAACACAGTGCCTCCAATCACCAAATCGTCGAATGCGCAGAAATCTGCAAACAGTTCTCCATTCTCATTCCTCATTTCACCGAGTGCTTCCCGACCCATGATGAGTTCTCTTCCTGTGTTGTCCGCTCCCAGTTTGACATTAAAACATGTCACCCATTAGAATTTTGATGTCGCCAGCTGGAGTCTTGACCAGTACTGATTGCAGTTGTCTGTAGAATTCCTCCTTCTTCTCTTGACCTGCATTATTTGTAGGTGCGTAGCATTGTACGATTGTGACTTTCCTTCCTTTTGAGTTGAATCTTGCTGTCATGATCCTGATACTGGAGAAGATTGGTTCCCACTGTATGAGAGCCTTCGATGTTCTTGGAGACACCATGATAGCCACTCCAAAACTGAGTGTGCTCGTGGTTGTCGTCTGGGTGACAATATCGGAGTAGATTATTGACTCTCCTCCGGTTGATAGTTTAGAGAGTCCACTTCCATTCCACCTGCTTTCGTAGATTCCAAGCACTTCAATGTGATACCTTCTCATCTCTTGCAATTTGGGTAGCCTTGGTAAGTTCAAACATGGTGCGGACATTCCATGTCCACATGTTTACTCTCGCTTTCATCAAGAGAAGATACATCAACTGGCGTCATTTCGTCTCTCCGATTCTAGCGACGAATTAGTTTGTTTTTATTTTTGATAATTTCTTTGTGCTTTGAAGTTTCTTTAGCGATTGGATTTGCTTTACGGTGTATGGTTGCTAGCCCTATGCCCAACCTTCCCTCTTTACCCAGGCTTAGGACCGGCTAGTAACTAGTGAACTAGCTAACCAGGCGAGGTTGAGGGTTTATCACGCTACTGAAATATTTAGTTTGAAACAGATGAAACGTGATTTGAATGCAGCACCCCAGATTTGAAAATCAGGTGTCTAAACCAACCAAACATACCTTCAGCTGCTAAGCTAATAGTGTCCAAATGAGACAGAGTAGCTGAGGTATCAGCAAGCATATGAATGCACCCCTTATCTCCAATTATTACCCACCTACGCTCAGGATGAAAATGACGATGGTTTGATTTTCTCTAGTTTAAACAAAATATTAAAGCACAAAGAATACCAAGTCAGTGATACATAAGCTCAACTGTTGTACATTTTTATCAACACCCAGATGGCGGCTTAAACTTGACTGTATTTCGTTTGCTTTCTTTGTCGCAAAAGAAGCTTGTTATAACCTAAATTGTCTAAGAGTTAATCAGTATTAACACATATAGGAAAAGACTTCAAAACATATAAAATCCAATTACTACAAAATTACTCACAAGTTGGTATACATCTCTTTGCTGTACAGAACGACCGGTAAAGTGAATATTACTTTGATACGCCTCTTTGGGCAAATGCATACCCAGTTGCTTAAGGTTTTCAGTAACCACTTGATCAAGTCTAAAAATTTTTTTTAAAAATTTCAAACTAATTAAAGGCTTTCCTGTTGAAATGAAGACAAAATATCACTTAGAATATTCGATATACGACTCGAAGATATGCGAAAAAACGTCTGAATATGTTGATAAATAGGCTGGTAAACACTATTTTTTTAAATCTACAGGTTTATTATGTGTACTGAACAGACTAAGTTTTTGTGTTTGATGCCATACATTGTATATCTCTGTTGTTGATTAGACCAAAGTGATCGCCCACTATTGGCATATAGGCTCCTGTGAGGATACTTCGATACTGCCTATATTTTCAGTTATGATACTAATGATGGACAGTGGCTTGTACTGGGGTCTAAGACGAGTGTTTTATCCTATTTAGGAGGCTGAGAGGTAGGTACATACGGCTGAAGAGTCCCATATAGGATGAAACACGCCCTGGATTCCACTGCTAGCCACTAACTACCATATCAAAGACTATACTACACCCGTAGTGCAAGCAGTGGCTATCATGACTCAGTGGCCTAGTGGATAACACTGGTGTTTAACGCGATTTGTTCTGGGTTAGAGTCCTAGTGGGAAAAACACCACCCATTGGAAGGCAGATACATCCGTATGGGGAAATGGAGATTATCTACCGCCAACACACTTGCAGTAGTAAATAGAACCCAATCAAACATAGCCTATTCTCCTAACCTTTGTCTTCTCCCATGCCCTCACTTCCTTCCAACTTTCTCAACCTCTCACTCTGCGACCGTTGCCGAAAATCCAAGCCATTGAAATGCCATTCCTGGTCTCCTAAGATCGCACTTCCAGATCCACACTAGATGCTTCAGCGTTCGAATCCTATGCCACATCAGACAGTAAGTATCTCTCGCCAGAACTTCGGTAGCTCGAGCTACGGATATATGCTGTTTCTCGAAGACACGTATACAGGACCCGAGTGTGGTTATAAAATTTACTTCACTTGATCACTGTATTAAATCTTCAAAATTCACTGTACGAGTGTCCAGAGATTCAATGGCTAGCTCTTATGAACTCGCTGGCGTAGGCATAGCATTGAGTTGTAGGGTAGAAAGTGCGTTTCTCGACTGGATACCAGTCAACAGCCGTCAGTGTGCTGTCCGAATGAATGCATCTGTAAAAACAAGGGTGAATTATGAAACGAGCCGATGCCTATTTGTAATCTCTACCAGCTGCTGTTCAGGTTATACGTATGATGACTTCTCCTATAGGTTGTCAATTTTGCTACATAAGTTAAAACTTTCAGATAGAGCATTATTTGTAAGAAACTTCAACATTCAAGTAGGAAAACTGATTCAACCCAGGTATTTACAAGGTATCTACGGTAACCCATGCCAACAAACAGCTAACAGCGATCCTCTGCTGCAATTTTGTTCTGGCAATCGCTGGTTTCTGGACAGTAATAATTTCAACCACAAGGAGAAGCACGGTCCCACTAGACGTCCGCCGAAATGAGGCCAACTATGGACACAAATACATCATACTGCTTTAAGACACTGTTGGAGAGGTCGGTGGACGATTGTCGCTTCTTCTGGAACACCTGTTTGACTCCAGTTACACGTTAGTACGGGCATGCATGTGTTTACGCCTTAGTGAGCGTAAAACAAACAATACGGAAGTCTCCGTGTGGTCTATGGGAGGACATTAAGTCTGTATTTCGTGAGGAGATTGTCCAGCATTTGTCTGAACATGGCAGCGACTCTGTTCCTGATGAAGCTGGACATAATATTCAGCTTGCTGTAAAAACAGTAGTACAGACAGTTAGTTGGTAACCTACATCCAAAAATCAGTGAAAGACAACGGATTTCCGCAACCTCACACGAAGAAGACTCATTCCAACTGGCTCTGACCACAGTGAGGAGCGAGTTATGACTTCCGGTAATAAAAATGAGTTTATCAGGTCAGAGGTCTTTTGAAACAACCTTTTAGGCTATACGTGATATTTGATTACTGATTTCCCTGAAAAACTGCTTGTTTATAGCAAAACCGCTGGGCATAGACTGTTGATATTAGGCTGTTTCAAGTAAGAAAGGCAAGTCAGTTAATGAAGTTGCAAACCTATGTCAACTGAAGTAGTTGGGATATACCTTACTTCATATGGCCTAGCAGGGTATACAACGATAGCTAGAGCACATGGTATGCAGAGAATAACTCAAAATGGTCAAAGAGTAACATGAAACAAGACCACGAAATCACTGACTGCTAGTTGGAAACATAAGAGTAACCGTGAACTTTTGCGCTAGACTAGGTAAAATGCTGGAAATTGGTATGATGCTGATCACACATAATTAATCGTTATCGAAAAAATACTATCACTCTGCATTCGTTAATTCTCGAATATCAATTTCACTTACAGTTGCCTACTCACACCATTTTTCTGGATAATTTCAATATCTTCCATCTCCTGTTAATTTTGTATGTGACCACTTGAATCGACTAGGTATTTTAAAAGGTTCTATACTTTTCATCTACGTACGATTGTACTCAAGAGTGTATCACAAAATAAAAGTAACGAAATTAAGACTCTGGGGTGCATAAACCACAAATCTTATTAGGGTCATATAATAACGTATGAAAATACAATAACAGATCTTAACTGACATCCCAAAATTTGCAAGACGCCCATTAAAACTATGTTAAAGACAAAAATACAGGAATTTTACCTCTTTAAATGTAAAAGTTATAATGATGACAGTTTCATGTGCTATGAAATTAATGCAAATCCATCAAAAGCTAAATCAACAGGTTGACAGTCAATTAAAACAATCGAAGATTTGAGCTATATTCAGTTATTACCTTGAAAAGTATTCATATCTCCATAGTGTAACATGACCCGATTTATCCACAAATATATTAGATGGCTGTAAATAAGAAAATAATGAAAATAGCTACACTTTACGCAAACACCTATACAAGACTGTTTAAGTAAGCGGTTTACCTCAACCTAACCACTGTAAATTATTCATTTGTCTACTAAGTTTAGGAGAGAATTACAATTACGACGGACTGTGTGATACCATAGGATAAGTTATAAGTTATACTGCAAGGTAGTTGAACTTGTAAATGTTACCTAACCGAATACCTAGATGGTTAGACAAAATTAATAATTGCTTTTTTTGTACCCTATAAAACACTTAAGCTTTCTATATGTTATATATATATCGCCAGTTAGTAGTAAATTTTAGAAGTTTCATCTTTCTGCACAGTAATCTAATTATCCTACTTCGTACGATTATCACTCAAAAAAATTATGAATTCACTCTGAGAGTTTGGAACTGGTTCGTGGACTATGCAGTGGGCCGAAAATACTGTATGATAGCTACCTAGATCTCAGTAAATGAGACAGGGACTGAACCCATGACCTGCTTAGCTACGTCTGTTAACTATTGTTCCACCACTTTGGATCAACCTAAAACATAATGTTCGTTTCCTGATTCATTTACTTATTTGGATATCTTTTAAAAAGTGATAGGTATTTATCATAAAAATAACTAAGAGCTCAGTAAAAACATGATTTCCCAGAGTTTTCTGTCCTTATTGAAATAAATAACAGGTCTGTTAGGAGCCAATTTCTCTGCTCCATAAAATTTGTTCGTGTGAGGATATACCACTGCTAAATAGTAGGTCATGATTGTAGCATTGGGAACAATCAATTTGCTTACGTCGACCTGTTTGGAAGAATGACTCTGATGGACACCAAAACGCAAGATGAACTTAATACACATGAAAGCGTGATTCAAGTCCAAACAAACAGGAATGAATGATAGCCATTGGCTATGTTGGATGAAGGATAGTTACATTTCACTAGCATCTTCTAGTGCTTTATAGCTCATTGGATGGGTTCCTAGAGATCACGTGACTCAGAGGACTGAGTCAATATCAAATACGGATCAGGATGGAAGCCAATAGAAATATTATTGCTATTTCATGTCTTTTATTATGCTTGGGATTGCGTCCCTAATAACCTATTCCTACTTTTGTCTCTGTTTCTCATTTTTCTCTTTTCATCTATATCACTTCTGTCTTAATGTTGTTATTTTATTTTGTATGGTGTTTTTCTTGTAACCGATATTGTACCAAATTTGTGTCTTAAATAAAATGCCAATAGTACTTTATAGTCGGGTTTCAAATTCGATTCAATCTTAAATTAGTTTGACCATTTAAGATTCAAGGTGTATGCATCATATTACTTTTCTCGAGATCATAACTTAAACTGTGGAAACAAGGGTTAATAAAAGTCACCATTTAACTCCAGCTTATTCAATAAGATGCATTTCATTCATTTATAACCTCAAGTAGAAGACAGATATGTCATAGCTTATTTCCGATACCATACCTATAAGTATGATCACGTGAAGGCTAAAATATTAATGCTCTATAGAAACCAGGTGTTTGTATAAGTCCATCTACTATAGTGAATCCTCCCACAAGTGTTGAAACTTCACTCTGTCCTTATTTCAAGGTAACACCAAGGACGTGCTGCCCAAATATGACAGATGACGTTAGTAGCCAAATATACGAGCTCGTATATGAATACTGAATTGCATAGTATCCATTCATTAATTTATAGAATACTTCCTCTGTCTGTGATGTCAATAGTCTTCTGTTTCAATTATCTGAATCTCATGATAAAAAGATTATTTACTATCGACTTACAAAGTGCAGCAAATATTATGTAAAAGGCTTAATGTAGACAAGTCATTCACGGACTGGTGGTGTGTTCCAGTAAACTAAGATTTCATTACGAATGGCAAGTAAATTTAAAGTATAGTGATAAAAATTCATTGCATATAACTTACGTGCAGATTTCTATGCGCAAGTGAGAGGGCATGAAGCCAAGATAAAGCACTGACAATCTGTCTAATCACATAACGCATCCACGTTAACTTTTTATCATCGATTTGAATAGGTTTTGAAAATAAATTAAATAATGAGTCAGGATCGAATTTATTATTTGTAACTGTATGAAATGCTCCACCTTCAACAACTTCTAAACTTGTTCCTTCTGGATGCTCGGTAATTAAACGAACAACATTCCAGTTTTCCCATAACTTCTCCTTACTTCGGTGGTAAACACTGGTATCAATACCTCAACAAGTAAAAAGAAAAGGTTGTGTTTTTAAAAAGGTTAAATCAGTCACTGTTTCTCCTGCATGTTACATATACCTCCTACATTTTGGTGAGTTTGAATACGATTTATGCAAAAATAGAACTTCTATGATACAGTTATTAGTTGGCCCATAGTAGTCGCACAAATGGAAGGCGACTAAGTAACTAGCGGGATCACTGCCCAAGCGCCTCACGTGGGTTGTTTTGTGATATTCAGTAAGTGAATAGTACTAACTATACAGAGAAGTAATTCCGAATTACAGCGCCTCAAGTTTTTTCTCTCCACCATACAAGAGGCGAAAGATAGTACTATCAGCCTTTTTCTAATGGGTTAGACGCTTTAAAAATCAATCTCCTAAGTATGAGTGCAATCTGAAATGAGTCTCAAATCACATATATAAGAACAACGGTATGAACACTGGATGATGTCTGCTTTATGCCGAATCGATACCAGGTTATCCAAGAAATTAGTAGTTAAATTTAATGGGCGACAGAATGCAAAGAAACGATCTCGGTAAACTGGAAAAATAATGGTTTTTAGATTGCATAAAGCGGCTTCACCAACTAATGAACAAATAGCAGACACCATGGGTTAGATAGCAAGTCAGAGACGAAGGAATCACTAGGCTATTTAGATGTTGTGGGTTAAAGTAATAGGCATAATAATAATGATTTAACTCTATCCAGTAGAGATCAATGTGTACTAAGCTATGAACCACACTTACAGTGTAAAGACCAACAATACCACTTGAGTGTCCAGGACGAAGTAGGTGGAGAGGCATTGGAAACAGAATGCATCACTTGAAAGTCAAATGCTTAAGTCAATGATTTATACGTGTATAACCACCCTTCTCTTTCTTAGATTTGAAAGGTAGGAAGCATGTATTAACTGACTTACAAACAACACATTACAGTATACTTTACCAGACGATATATTTACTTTTTTGAACCCATGAAAGTGCGATCGTGGTCTGATTTTGTCATCCTATAACTAGGAGTACAGCTTTTGTAGGAAACAACATTATGTAGCATCTCAAAATTTTACATGAATTCCATATTTGACTTCATAAACTCGCCCTAACGATGCCTAACCTGCAAAGCCACTCCAAGAAAATTACTAAATAATAATTCCCTCGCCTCTGACTGTTACTGACTCGTTTGACTTTATTTTCTCCCGGTTTATTTTGTTTTGTTCATGTTTAAGTAAGGGGATTGTCTGCAATAATCAATAATCAATAATCAGTACAGTGAAGTTTCCTGTAACTGTTAGTTGTTCGATCGCTAGTCACGATGAAGCAGCTGACATTCAAATAACATCAATAACTTATTATCCCAAAATACTTAGTGCACCAATTTTGCTCTGTATAGGCTACAGTACCGCTTCTAACAGTCTGCAACTTCAAAAAAGTAGGTGAAATAAACCAATTAAGTTGCATTCGAAATAAGGCGAAAAAGGGGGTTTGTATTAATCAAACTTACCACAGGCCGGCAAATTTCTCGTACATTCAACACCCAAGATCTTACACAGATTTGGATGTTGTTTTTGCCCAGAAAAATACGCTAACTGAGTCAGGAAACTATCCAAGAAATCTTTGTTAGTTAAGTGAGTATAACTGGTATGAAACACCCATTCGTGTAGTTGAAGTGAAGCACCGGTTCGCACATCTAAGCTATTAAAATAGCACACACATGGGAATACATCCGAACTGAGATTTCTAAATCATTTTTAAAGAATTAATTAGAAAATACCATCCTACTTCAACAGAACGGATTGATTATGAGGTCCATTTGCACAACAACCTCTTTGAATTTCAATAAAAACGGATTCAAATGATTTATGCATTGCTTCATACTGTTCAAATGTGGTATACTTCTTCAGTTTTGCGCAATTTCCCAAGTACAACATGCTCAAAGAACATACAGCCGAATGTCTACTTAATGGACATTTTCTACTAATAATAAGCCGAAAGGACTGTTTTGGAGGGGAGGATACTCCAGATATTTGAGCATCAGATGCGTTACCTTCTGAATTCGAAAAAATCCTGAAAATAAATAAAATTAAATTAAACCGAAGGATGTTACATAGTATAGTAGGTTCTTAGTTCTAGAGAGATGAATATCGTAGAATCATGAATAGTTTAGTTCATTTTCACTATTATTGAAAGCAATCTTTCGAATTACTGAGAGACATATAATACAAGTTGAGTAGCGTTTACACAAAGCACTAGTAATTACACAGTTTCCTGCAAGTTGACTATAATCAAAAAACAGGCTTTTGTTAGTAACAACTAATTTGCAGCCTAGAAAAGAAATAGATCAGTTGCAAACGTAACCCGTTAAACAACTCAGTTGAAAACGTCGAAAACAGGCGATGATATATATATATATATATATATATATATATATATATATATATATATATATATATATATAGGGTAACAATGCTATGGTGTTTTGAATAATCAATTTTTTTGCTTCTAGATCATCAGGCCGTTTGCTTCCCCTAATAGTACTTGGAAAACAAGGATCTCAGAGGTTGGCTGTATGGTAAATCTGAATATCCCACTCCTAGTAGCAATTATTGATCATTTTGTGATTCAGTATTACTTGTTTCTACCTGTGGTAGTAGCCTAAAACAACGTGTTACAACAGCTCAACGTAGCTTTTTCAATAACGAGCTGAAATCACTAGTTAAAATGAGCAGATAATAATATCAGGATAAGTTAGAGAACATTATTTTGGAATTTTTAATCCCTTTCTTGTGAATTTCAGATGGAAGATGTATAACCAACTATAAGTGTGTGCTCATACAACAAAAAAAGTTTTCTACTTCCATGAAACTAGTTACACATAGTGGTGATTGGAACTCAGATGAGAACTGCATAGTGCAACATTTTTACATACATACTTGAATCTTAGTTACAGAAGTTCACTCAACCAATAAACACAGTATTCGACAATGAGAGTTTTTATATTCGTCAGTAATCTAATTCTTAACTAATAATTAACTATATTTGATACATTTGTCTCTTAGGTAAGCGATATTAGAGACGAAGAACTGAAAGTACTCACTAAAGATATACTTTTTCAAAAACGTAGGATATTAATGCTTCTTGGGTACTCGAACTCAAACAAATTCACTCGCAGATCGTAGCCAAAGCCTCTAGTAATAATCATTACATCGGTGAATTAGGGCACATTTAACAGTATGAAAAGCACAAGGCAACTACCATCAAGTTATGTTTTGTTTGTGAGTAACATAGAAGTGGACTTAGATTGTCAATAGATTCCATCTGATTCTCAGCGACAGGCGTTTACGTTCAGTGATAAAGTGGAAGTAAAACCTCGGGTAGGAGCGTTTACAGGGTTGGAAAACAGGTATGCACTACTCTTCGGTGTCATTGACTCAAGAAACTATATGAAAAATTCTTACACTTTCGTTTTAAATATATCCACAAGATACACAAAGTGACATAAATTAACGGACAATGAAACAGTAATCCAGCACGATGTGTACACATTTACTGAATGGATTCGAAATGACATTTACTTAGTACGGAATACAAAGACACCATGCATATAAGATAAGCGATAGCAAAACAGATTTTTAAAATTATGACATACTCAGATAACTGATCTTTTTCTGTTTGTTTCTTCTGTATTTCTGCCTATTAAAAATAAAGTAAGCTTTGGAATAATTTATGGCACATACACAAAATTAAAAATACCTGTGACACTGAAATAAAACCAAAGAAAAGATATTCACAGTAACAAATTGACCCTGGTAAAATACTCAATGTTATTTGTGAGGTCGAACAATTTGATCCAGTATAACAAAGGAGAATTACAAGTGCATCAACAAATAGTTACAAGATTGCTTTACTTTTCACACCGTTCATCAGTGTTCAATCGGTTGTACTTCTTACACAACTTACATCCTGATTGTCAGTCACTTCATTTAAGAAATATAGCCGTAGATTCAATGTATGCTTCTTGTAGATTCTTTTCTTCCAAATTAAATAAGGTGGTAAATGATAAAAGCCTTCTGGATAATTATGGAACATTTATATAAAATATCATACTTCCTTTCCGAAGTTAGCGAATATTTGGAATCTCAAAAGAATAAAGTAAATAGATTGCGATACTTTTATTATGAAACAATAAAGTAAGCAATGTATAACCACATAAGTTTGTAATCCAGGAAATAGAGATGTACTAGTCTATATCTTTTTTCCGAGTTTCATTGCTACCCATCAGTAACCAAACTTCATCAAAATAAAACCTGAGGCAATATTGAGAAGGTAATATTTCAAGACTGATCAATTTGGTCCAGTATTGTAATAAGTGGGAAATACAACCATCAGTAAATAAACAAAAAACGAATGCTTGCATCTAAACAGTATGATGGAGATATAAAACAATGCGATTGTGCCAACTATATTCAGACCAAATAATATTATAGTCATGCATTTCTGAAGTATTCCAGGAAAATGCATCTTTAAATATACTACCGAACAAACTGAGTAGTTAGGAATCAGTCAGGCTGACCTTCAGACTTTACCATCTAGGTCAGAGTGGGTCGCACACTAGCTTCTAAAGGCGACATCCAATCCCATCGATCAAGAGGTTTTATGGCAGCGTTTCTTAATGAAGGGAGTGCCGGGTAAGTGCATCACTCTGCTGAAAGTTCTGTATTCGAACACTGGTGGACATTTTAGAGCCTATGATGAGATGTCAGATGAGCTGGGTACATCAAAAGATGCTTCTCAAGGATATACATTCTCTCCATTCTTACTTAATTTTATCGTCGACGAGATTATGTCGGTCTCCTTCACCGTATCTGGTTTTACCCGGACTGAACTGGTCACAATAGAGCTGCAGTTCATTTGTTTATGCAGCTGATATTCAACCAGTGGGTCACCGGTTCGAACACCGCTCCTTCTACCGAGGTGCCGTCGGCCAGGCAGTACTATTAGCCGTCACACAATAAGTGTGGTTTATTGCCTACTGTACGGACGTGTACAAAGTGTATTCTATTTTTTGAGACTTTTGAGTAGAACTAGAGTATATAGGTGAAGTAATACTTTCGGGTGAAGCTGCCGACAAGATGAAATCTTCTGGACAAATTAAATGCCAGTTTGGAGAAGTTTAAAATGAGTTTCTTGCCACCTAAATGCGAATTGTTTATGAGTAACTGGTTTGTGTTGGTATTTTTCCTAACGAAAGGGAGTGAAGTGATTGGATGCGTTGACCACTTCACTTACCTGAAAAGTCAGACTAACCCTGGTGGGTCGCTGACAGACGAAATCTCTGCACGGATACAAATGATTCACTCGACTTACGCCAACTGACTCTATTTACGCTACTGTCTTGATATCCGATTACCTAATAAGGATGAAGTTTACTGTGCTGCAGTCCTTTCTGTTCTATTATTTCGCTATGAAACATAACCATTGAAGGTAGAGGATTTAAGAAGGTTTCGGGTGTTCGACCACCGTTGCTTTCGCATCATAGGCCACATGTCTTGCTGTCACCACGTGAGTAACGTAGAAGTCAGGTGTAGAGTTTTAAGGAGAATCGGAAGAAGAAGAGGTTGTGAACCTTTGTCAACTCAGATGACAGATATGTGCTACGGACACGTAGTCACCTTCTGTCCAATAATGCAATTTTAGATAAAGTAGATTCAGGTTGGGAAACGGTTAGAGGCGACCAGACATGGTGCAGTCCATGAAATCGATGATTGTTGGTTTGGTTTGTAGGAAAATGCTTCTAGCGACTGACTCACTTATTGATGAGAAATTACAAAAGAATAAATCACTGAAAGTGCAGTCTTACCTCATTTAATGATAAACGCCACTGAATAGCCTCATCAATATGTTCGATCTGAAAATTCAGAAGTTGATATACGATTAACAAGAGCTACATTTGAATTTAGCACAGTGAAAATGATAGGAAGGAATTTAAGATACGCCTAATATACTCACTTTAATGATTTCTAATTTTATTTGGTATCACCCAGAGAGAATAGTGGTTGTATTTAATTTCACTAATGCCAAACAATGGCTCTAAAATAGGGAGGACATATTTTCGCTTACAAGAGACCACCTGTCTATTAATACAGGTGTAAAACTTGGGTACTGTGGTAGAATTCCATATTAGATTTATTTATTTAATTTATAACACACAGTGATCTAGCATTATTTTCTTGAGCATAAATTACCCTTCATAATCATATCAATGTAATTACACTACTTTCAACATTTGATTTTTATAGTTATGTCACTTCATATGAGTTGTTTTTATTGGCAGTGAAATTTTTCATATCTCTGGTATAGGTGTTGCGTCATTTCTATTACACGTGTTGCGTGTAATCAAATGTCGAAAGTAGTGTGATTATATTGATGAAATGATTGTGAGGGGTAATTTATGCTGTCACTAAGAAAGTAGTGCTAGATCACTGTGTTATCAATCAAATAAACAAATCTAATAAAGATCACCTATCAACTTTTTTAAACTCATCCCAACAGCTAACTGTCATAAGTTGGTTTGAAGAAATCAGTTGTGATCTGCATATAAATGCAGTAAATGATCTCTATTATTTAACTTGGTGCAAACAAGTCCACAGTGACAACATAAATAATTCTTTTCTGAAACTAGATGTCCGACTTCTGCATTAGCACCACAATACTATTGAGGTACACTCAGTTGATGGTAAAACTTATTCCTATTTGAGTTTCAGCTACAATCCGCCGCTTTGCAGGTAGGGATCCCTCTCTTGCCAATTAATACCTATTCTACATGAACCCTTCAGGCTAGCAGTAAACATTTAACTGTCAATAAGTATCCGGTCGACCAATGCAGCTTTGGCTCTAGCGTTTAGAGTCATTAACATCAGCAAGGCTCTATATCAGTGCCTCACAATTCTCGGATAGGCACAAACGAAATGCTCTTTAGGCTGACAGAAACCTACGTCCAGGGCTTCCTGTCGGTTGATTCCCGAAATATAACGCTTAAATAGAATATAAATTTAGAGCATCTCATTGCATGTGGATCTCTGAGACAAAGCACATATTAGTAGAAAGGGTTTCCAGGGTTTTATCTGGACGACTGTTGCCCGATCTGCCATTAAGTAAAACCACTGATGATAGAAAGGCTAAAAACTACACTGTTATAGAATAATTATCAGGATTTTCTAACCCTTTTCAAGTATGCCCTCTTAACCCACCAATTCGACAATAGGCAGTAAACATCTTTCGTTTTACACTTTTCTGGAAATACTGTTGCCCCAGGAAGGCAGTAGATTAGGAATTTTGCAAAAGAGGTTATGACTACATGGAACTATTAGGAAATTTAGAGAAAGAGAGAGCAGCCTTTAGTCGTCGTCCCAACCGATAGCTGCTACCTTCACGTGGTGGTCGGGCTTGCATATCACAATGACCCAACGAGCTATGCTGGTGGAACACTTGTTCTCTCGAGGTCCTACCATACCAGAAAGGTCTGTTAGATAGTGGTTAGACGAAAAGCAGTTACCGTTGTGGTGCAAATTACTACACTATGATGGGGATCTGAGGGCGAAGTCGTACTGCTGTTAGTTGGATGGGGTGTGACAACAGTAAGGTGTTTCCTTTGGATGACCAGCAGTGCCATGCTGATGCTGCCTTCTCAATGGAAGGGGGGTTAGAAAAGGTCGGCCCCAAAAATAATACACTCCACCATGCTCCCGTCTGCCAGGCCGGCGGTGTTGGTTCATTTGTCGTTTCTTTTCGACCATCCGGACCCAAAAATACAAAAGTTCAAAATAATCATACACAAAAGGCTGCGTGTGACAGGCCTCAAGCAGATGTCCGATGGGCTCTGCAGTCACACAAATCTCTTCCAGGTACCTTAAGAAGAAATAGCCTTCCACGGTATAGGCAGCCGGGAAGTATCAATCGCCCTCACAACTCTGTCAGCACTCAAGTTTCCTCAGATTGCTATCCACCTTCCTCCTCCTCCTTACCTCCTAATCTTCCTTCACGTCTCTCAATTAACAATACTACATTATCTTTAATTTCTCTTAGTTCTGCAGCCTTCGACAACGATCTGAGTCCACAGAACAGCATCACTGGTCTCCTTAAACCATGCTCCAAGTTACGTATTGAAGTCTTCAATGTCCGCACCCTCCGTCAAATTGGTCAACAGGCTTCGTTAGCAAAGACTCTAGCAACTGGGGCCATGGATGTGTGCTGTGTTTGTGAGACACGCATACAGGACCCAAGTGTGGTTATTCACCTGACCTCTCCTGACCAAGCTGGTGAATCCGCAAAATTCACCCTTCTAGTTTCTGGAGATTCGATAGCTAGCTCTCGTGGTCTTGCAGGTGTAGGCATAGCATTAAGCATCAGGGCAGAAAACTCACTACTAGACTGGATCCCAGTTGATAGTCGCTTCTGCGTTATGAGGCTGAACGGCACAGTAAGAACTAAAAGGAATAGTGAGACTCGCGGTTGTCTTCTGAGTCTTCTGAACAAACTTTGAGTAGCAATTTGAGAATGTTTGGGATGCGTTTCTCACCACCGGAATGCAAATTGTTGCTCCAGGATTGGTCTTCAACAGTGCCACGGCTAACAATAGAGAGTTAAGTGGTTGAGCGTGTCGACCACTTCACTTACCTGGGAAGTAGGATCAGCCCTGATGGCTCAGTGGCCGATGAAATCTCTGCACGGATACAAAAGGCCCGATTGTATATTTTGCATATTGATTGAGCAACTTTTTAGTGCAATTATCTGTCACTTTACTCAGGAAAAATACGACTGTACAGCTTGATAATGAAGTCGTTGAAAAGAAATATTTCTTCGCTGATACATGCCTTGTTCTTGTTAATGAATAAATGGGTATATTTCGTCAGCTGAAAGAGTGCAAGAACCCAATGACAGTGAAGGGACTCAATGGGTTTCTTCGTTATTCTGTCAAACTTGCGCAAGCGAATGCGAAGGTCGATATACTAAACAGTTGTATTGCGAAACATGAATACCCAAAATATTTCTGGAAAGCTTTGCGTCGTAATCGTATTTATCTTAATGGTCGCACGTTGAAGCGATATGCTCTAAATCTAATTGATGGTATCCATATACGCCTTCCTGAACTGGAAAGAAATATTTCCCAGCGAGAGGATTTTGTTTTCGAGCCAACAAGTGAAGAGCGGGATTCATTTGAATCTTATGTATCAGATGTGATAAAGAAGAGATGTGAAGATGTAAGAATCAAATTACTGAAAAGTTTTAAAACTGCTGAGTCACAAGACAATTTTCCAGATGCACCAGAGAGATACGTGTTTAACCACTCCAGCATAACTCTGTCAAACATTCAGTTACAGATTGTCTTTGGGACCAAAGTTTTGTTGTGCTTCATCTAAAACCAGAGGACTTGACACAAAAGTGCAATTTGAAAATTTTATCAGCCAGACTAGAGACTTAATCCCGACGTCCACCGAAAGCTTCGAACGTTTCAAATCCACATTATTACATTGCTGCTATCAATATTTGAAAACACCATGCCGACAACGAGGTGTTGTTTCCAAAGAGCACAAAGCACAATTGGAAAAACTACTAAACAACAAGGATATTATGATTGTACGCCCAGACAAAGGATCGGGTATTGTGGTTTTGGATCGGTCGGATTATATTGATAAACTATGCCTAATTCTAAGCGATGACAATAAATTTCTAAAATCCAGGGATCAGAAGGATAGAACAGATGTTAAAAATCAAAAATCGAAAATCTTAAGAAAATTGAAAGAAGAATCCTTAATTACCCCAGATATGTATGAGCAGCTTAGACCATCTGGTTCAAACATGCCCCGTTTATATGGTCTGTCGAAGGTGCATAAAGATGGTCTTCCACTTCGTCCAGTACTTGATATGCTTAATTCACCTTATCATTCGTTAGCAAAGTGGCTTGCAAAAATGCTTGAACCGGTGAGATTAAATCTATGCAAGTATAGTCTTCCCGACACATTTGGTTTTGTTCACTGCATCGAAGATATCAACGTAATGGATAAGCATATGATATCGCTTGATGTTTGTTCTTTATTTACCAATGTTCCTCTTGTTGAAACCGTTTGTTATCTATGTGATTACATTGATTCTAATAATATTAACATTGGATTACCTACGAGCCAACTAAAAGAACTAATATTGAGATGTACGTTTAATGTACAGTTTAGATTCAATGATATAATTTATAATCAGACGGACAGCGTTGCAGTGGGGTCTCCACTAGGCCCTGTTCTGGACGATATCTTTATGGCAAAGCTTGAAAACGGGGCCCTTAAAGAAATAATTTCGGAACTTTATTTGTATAAAAGGTACATGGATGACACTTTTCTTATTTGAGACGAGACTTGTTCAGTGGACGAGCTGTTAAGACGCTTCAATGATTGTCACCCGTCCATTAAATTCACTGTAGAAGAAGAGTTAAACTCATCGTTCCACTTTCTAGACGTAAGGTTAAAGAGAAGGGATGATGGCTCTATACAAAGGTCAGTTTATCGTAAACCAACTTGGACTGGTCAGTTCACTAACCTTAATAGTTGGGTACCTCTTGATTGTAAGAGAAATCTCATTCACTCACTGTGTTCTAGAATCTATGGAATATGTTCAGAAGATACGGTGGATGCTGAAATCTAAACTCTTAGAATAATACTATCTAATAACGGATACCCTAAGAGATTTATTGATAAGAATCTGAAGAAACGAACCACTCCCCATCCCATTACAGTCCCTAAGAAAATTTTAACCATGAATCTAGAATTCAAAGGAGACACCACAGCGGAAGTGTTGAAAAATCGTCTGTCAAGATGTATCAATAGTAGCTTCTATGCTGCTAGGTTGAGATTGATATTCTCCAGCCGCCGTCTGATTCGTCAATGCGTGAAGGATAGGCTTCCACTTATGTCCACTTCTATGTGTATCTACAAGTTCACATGCTCCTGTGGAGCTGACTATATTGGACGTTGTAAGCGGGCCCTCCGAAAACGTGTTGCTGAACACTACCCGGTTTGGCTTACCAGAGGCGAGCAAAGGAAAACGACTTCATCCATATGTGAACACCTTGTTGAATGTGGACACTCAGCACCTCGAGATTCATCCTTCAAAATAATTTACAAAGTTAAATTGAACTACTCCAAAGGTTTACGCTTCCACCACTTATGCACAGCTGAAGCATTAGCTATACATGAACAAAAACCGAAACTTTGCATTCAAAAACGTTTTGTGAAACCACTTTCTCTACCTTGGCCTTAACAATTCATTTTGTTGATTTTGTCAATTTCAGTTCACTTCACTTTGGTATACTTCTCTTCTATTATCACCATTATCACCAATTTTCACTTCATTGACAACACTTGAACCATATTTCACTCTTTAATATCAATTCATTCCTTAATCATTGACCTAATGTACACGTTTCAGCTTAATTATCACCGTTTTACAATTCTTTGACAGCACTTGTCGCTTATCTCACCACTTGTTATCAATTCGTTCCTCCTTATTCAGTGACCCATTTTCTATCTCTTCCACTTGAACAAATACCACCACCCCTCCACCGATTGTATATTTTGCATATTGATTGAGCAACTTTTTAGTGCAATTATCTGTCACTTTACTCAGTATAAATACGACTGTACAGCTTGATAATGAAGTCGTTGAAAAGAAATATTTCTTCGCTGTTACATGCCTTGTTCTTGTTAATGAATAAATGGGTATATTTCGTCAGTCGATTGGCTTTTGCCAACTTACGCCACCTATGGCGCCGCCGTGATATTCGTTTGTCTATTAAGGGTCGCGTGTACTGCACAGCAGTCCGCTCTGTTCTACTGTATGGCTGTGAAACATGGCCATTGAAGGTGGAAGATATGAGAAAGCTTCAGGTGTTTGACCACCGTAGCTTTCGAAGTATAGGCCGTATTCCGTGGTGTCACCACGTGAGTAACACAGAAATCAGATGTAGAGTTTTGGGAAGGAAAGGCAAGTCAGTTGACACGGTTGTGAACCTTCATCGACTGAGATGGTTGGGGCACGTGTTACGTATGCCTAGTCACCGATTGCCTCGTCACACAATGTTGGCTGAAGTAGGTCCAGACTGGAAGAAGGCCCGAGGCTCTCGGCCAAACTAAAACATGGCACCAACGTATGAAGTCACTGACTGTTGGTTTGAGCCATGTAGGGTGATGCAGACTAGGTGGTTGGGGTTCGCGGGACAAGAGGAACCAGTGGTTGGAAACTCTAGGTGATATGGCTCAGAACCGACGTCAGTGGCGCTGATGTATACATAAATCATCATCATCTTAATGGCTCCATACCGAACCTCACCACTTTCTCATTCTTCGTTTCTCTCCTTTTGTGCTTTATATTTCTTTTGACTGCATTCTCTTATTTTCATCTTCCACCTCACTGCCTTTTTACTTGATGTACTGATATGAGGTATGGCAACTCGGACCGTTACGCAGTAATGTCTGGTCCTATGTTGATCTGGTATGAGTCGTCGTCAACCATGCCAAAGAATTCCCAAGTGACATACCCTTTCGTGGTTTAAAAAAACGATAGGAGATTCAGAATTGCTTCGTATTAAGACATTTTAGGACCTATAAAGAAAAACCAAAACTCTACAAAAGTGATAAGATTTCAAAAGGATTTTCGAAGTGTTTCCTTAAAACAAAATTTACCTCAGCTTTTACTGCTTTTTGTCTGGATACCTGTTGATTTTGAACATATTTATCATCATTTCCCACATTCAGATCGTGTTCCCTTCTTGGAGTTTTGAAAACAGTGGTGGGTATAGATAGAGACTTCATATAATTTTGACTAGCCTCAATCAACTCCTTCATGCATATCTGAAGTTTTAAAAAGATAGAAAGTCAAAAGCACTCATTGTTTTCAAACATTGAACTTCAAATCGACTTTAACTTCGATCATTTTCAAATGTCGAGCCCAAATGCATAAAGCAAGGGCTATTCCGAAATCCGAACCCTGGGACCAGAATAGATTTTTCATATCAAAACGATACCATCATAACATCAAATTCCTGAGAAAGTGAAGTGGTCATAGTCTTTTCACACTACTTCCTGTTTACTTCTTGAGATAGCTATCTAAAAAGACGTCTGAGTCTATCCCCTCACGCAAACGGCAATCGAGGGAACAGCAGTCAGAAACCTTGTTAGACAAAAAGTGTGTGGACAGTCCGTTTTCCTATTTATCATTTTTAGTGTTAAGACTTGAAATGTTTCTGACCTCCTACTTTTTAAGGTACTGTGCACTTGCCATATATTTAGCTAAATACAAATAACTGTTTTGGCTAACAGTCTAATTCTGTCTTCTTTCTGAGTCAGCTGAACTGACGTTAGTGGCTTTAGGATCAGTTCGCACATAGTAACTCGAGTATAACACTAGTTAGGACCAATGCCTGGCATTCCCCTTAGGCCGTTAATCATAGGAACCAATAAGAAACTTAAACCAAGGTTAAAACCAGAACACCGACCAAACCATCAAGAAATAGATACAACACTGTCTCCTTAGAAATTCAAATAACGAAGTCGTCACAAATTACCTGAAGTTGCTTGAAATGAATTATCATGAATCGGATATGAACAGAAACAGATTTCCCAATATTTACGTCTAGGGAAAAATGAACCGATTCCGACAAATCCAAAAAAAGCAGTCACTCTCAAAATGGTTAGTTGGTTTTTATGTCCTAAACCTTTCTCATTAGAAATACTACTGAGTCTATCATGAAGGAAACGAACGATTAAGAGGATTAAATTATCAAGTGAACTTACTTGGCCCTTCATGTTCTCAGTCAATTCTGTGAGTATGACATGAAGTGTATCCAATTGTCCCTTAGTGACTCTTTTACTGCCTTTGATGCGAAAGCTGAGCATACTGTAAGGAAAAAAGTTCATGAACCTTGCGGTAATAAATCAATTTGTCGTGAGGTACAGAAGTTCATCAAAAAGCTACAACACCTATAACTTATGTGGACAAAGATACTGCAATGACATTCAATTAGTTGTCGAACATATTAAATGGTCAAATTCAGTACTTAAAACCATGACTTTAATAACTGTGACTCATTATGATTGGATGGTGACTGTCTTCGAAACTTAACAGATAGATCCCGAAAGATTAAACTTGTGGTTAACCGAATTCAGTAATTTTCCTTCTGTCAACATGCAGTCACATGCACAAAAGATGGGACTGAGGTAACATAAATGTGAATTATTTATCAGGTGTCAGATAGCTGACCAAAGATAATAAGTCTGGAAGCAGCCAATAAATGCTGATTAAGAGATGTTGTACTATCCATTAACTTAGTCTTTTATCATTATTTTTTAATTACGGCGTACTAGTACGGCAAGAAGGAAGTAGTACGTATACCACAGGCAACGAAATAAAATTGCTGCTCCATTTTTTGTTCACAATTAAAGTAGATAACGAGCAACTGTTATTTTCAAAAGACTAACTTTGAAAATCGAAAAACCAGTAAAGATCAACCTTGCAAACTTTCTGCATCGATAAGACATCTCTACTTTCATAATCTGAGGCAGTTGGTGGGGAAAAGATGATTTTTACCGAAGTATACAGGTCATCCAAAACCGAAATAATCAATATTGTTATGTTAACGATACCAATGATGAGCATTAATGATGTGAGCAATACTACAAAATGGGGTTGCCTCTTTGTACAAATTGACTGACAGCCTCAAGTCAAAAAAGTAGGAAGACATTATTACGGCCAAAATGGCCTAACAACAAATGGGTCCGAGATAATATTGAAACGCCGATGGTACTTCTGCTAGGTGCTATCATGATTTGTAAATAATATTCTGAAGGTCTTACCAGTTTTGTAAATGCACAGTTGTTAAGTGGTGAAAGCGCATACACAAAAATAGGGATGAGGAGTTTAAAACCTTTAATTCAATTGTAATGGGAGCTCATTGACGTCTGAAAGACTCCGTAGAAATGATTTTGTACTACATAAGAGCGACTCCTTTTTGAAGCAACAATTCCCTCCAAGATGACAACACTCGTTTCAAACCAGTTCCAATAAGCGCGGGATCTATCGACTGCTTTCAGCTACTCAATAGCATACTTATTTCACATGTAACCACACATCAATATAGTCTCTATAATGTGATCCATTATGCCAGCGTGGAAAATATTTTGCATCTGCTTTCCTAATAGAGACAATATTTCAGTTCATCAAAATCTCACATCTGTCGCATATTTCCTAACCGAAATGTTCCCTTAAATAGTCAGTTTACGGAATAGTTTGTCAGTTTATTTTCACATTTCTGCCAATTTAAATTATTGATCCCCCTTGTAGGAACTCACTCAGAATGTAAAGCAAATAGATCCAATCTAATAAGAAATGTGCAGTATAGATTAGGTCAACCTCGAAACTATGGCACTACAAACCCTATTTGTGATTCACGATAACTTCAGTGGGTCCACTAATAAAGAATGTATGAAAAAACTTAACATCCTGCTCCTCACAAACTGATTTCAGTAGTCTATCAAACGAATCGGGGAAGGGCAGCAGGACCAGATGGACTACCTGCTGAGGTATACAAGAATGGTGGTAGAGTTCTCTTAGTCAGGCTAACGGAAGTGTTAGGTAGTATATGGGAATCAAATACGATCCCCTCCGACTGGTCTAAGTCACTGATCATCCCAGTCTTCAAAAAAGGCGAGAAGTCCTCTTGTGATAACCACAGAGGAATCAGCCTGACAAACATAGTGTCTAAGATCCTAAGTTCTATAATTCTCCAACGCCTGAGTGGAGCTCGGGAACAGCAAGCTCGAGAAAACCAGGCAGGCTTTAGACCTGGCCGTCGGTGTATCGACCAAATATTCACGCTGCGCCAGGTCCTGGAACATAGGCATGCTTACAGACGCCCGACAATAGCTGTATTTCTCGACTTGGAGGCGGCATTTGACTCCGTTGATCGAGAAGTCTTATGGCAGTGTCTCTCACTGAAAGGCGTGCCTAGTAAGTACATCACCTTATTGAAAGCTCTCTACTCGAACACTTGTGGGCATGTTAGAGCCTATGGTGAGTTGTCCAGGGAGCTATACTCATCAAGTGGTGTCCGTCAAGGATGCCCACTGTCTCCATTCTTATTTAATTTTATCATAGATATTCTTATGGAGGTTTCCCTCTCGTCACCTAATTACAAAGACGTTGACCCAATCACAGGTGAATTTTCTTTAGATCTAGAATATGCAGATGACATAGTCCTGTTAGGTGAAGACGCTGACAAGATGCAGAGTCTTCTGAACACTTTGAGTGGGAATTTGAGAATGTTTGGGATGCGATTTTCACCACCCAAATGCAAATTTTTGCTCCAGGACTGGTCTTCAGTGGTACCGCGGTTAACAATAGAGAGTGAAGTGGTTGAGTGTGTTGACCACTTCACTTACCTGGGAAGTAGGATCAACCCCGGTGGGTTAGTTGCCGATGAGATCTCTGCACGGATACAAAAGGCTCGATTGGCTTTTGCCAATTTGCGCCACCTATGGCGCCGCCGTGATATTCGTTTGTCTATTAAGGGTCGCGTGTACTGCACAGCAGTCCGCTCTGTTCTACTGTATGGTTGTGAAACATGGCCATTGAAAGTGGAGGATACAAAAAGGCTTCAGGTGTTTGACCACCGTTGCCTTCGTAATATAGGACGTATTCCGTGGTGTCACCACGTGAGTAATGCAGAAGTTAGGTGTAGAGTTTTGGGGAGAAGAGGTAAGTCAGTTGACGAGGTTGTGAACCTTCTTCGACTGAGATGGTTGGGACACGTACTACGTATGCCTAGTCACCGATTGCCTCGTCACACAATGTTGGCTGAAGTAGGTCCAGACTGGAAAAAGGCCCGAGGTGGCCAGACTAAAACATGGCACCAATGTATGAAGTCTCTGACTGTTGGTTTAGGCCATGTAGGACGATGCAGACTAGGTGGTTGGGGTCCACGGGACAAGAGGAACCAGTGGTTGGAGACCCTAGATGATATGGCTCAGAACCGAAGTCAGTGGCGCAGATGTATACACACATTATCCTCATCTTAACAACGCTATACCGAATCTCACTATTTTGTCACTCCTCTTTCCTTTCTTCTCGTACTTTATATTTCTTTTGACTGCATTCACTTATCTTCATCCTTCACCTCACTACCTTTTTACTTGATGTGCTGATATGAGGTGTGGCAACTCGGACCGTTACGCAGTAATGCCTGGTCCTATGTTGATTATGATGATGATGATCAAACGAATCAAAGGATAGGAAGAGTAGTCACAAGAAGTGGGACACATGCTCCAAACGCAAAAGTAGTACTAGAGCGAATCGGGGTGGAAACGGAAAATCTCAGCAACCACTGTAGCTTTATTTCTTAGTAGTAGTTTATTTAAGATATCAGGATGTTGTACTAAAAGTAACCGATATGCAGACACTCAGCATATGCATCCATAATGTCTAGACCTCGTATACAACAACCGAGAAAAGATATGACACCTAGTACGATTTTCTCTTCCCCTCTGAACGAATCCAGCACAAAACTTTAATAATAACGGCTAGGTCGTAAAAATATCGTGCTAAGCTATAAGAACAGAAAAAACACCGATAAAGTTTCAAAAGATACAGTACACCAATTTTACACGATAGTCAAGTGAAGTGGAACCGAATCACGTACGAAGTACAGCAAATTAACAGTTACCTAGAAAACTGTTGTCATACAATATAAACAATAATAAAGACGATGGGAATAATAATAAGGACAGAGAAAAGAAGGGCTTTGATGATACAACTGGCCGAACTATAAGGAATATTAAAATATATTTAGCAGGTATCTACATCATCACGAGTAAAAACGCTTATTTCGGATTTACAGCATAGAAGTGCCCGAGTTATAGATTTATATCTTAGAAGCAAGATAGAAATGAGCTCAACTTTAAGAACCCGAGACATTTTTATCACTACATGACATGTTTGAAGAATTCCAGGTACAAAATTGGGTTTTTTGCAGATATTTTTTCAGACCCACCAAAGTCTAGAAACCATGAAAAGGCTGCAAAAGCTATATAACAAAAACCACAAATTTTAGCACAGGACGCACGCTTTCGTATATCGACCCAAATCAAAGGCTTCTTTCCGCTTTTTCAGAGATATTTTAACAAATTCTTTAGCATTTAAACTTCGGAGGCTGCTGATTTTAACTATCGAGTCGAGAATAGGGCAACTATGCTCAAATATACTTACATATATGTAGTCATAACATTATAATCTTACGTGTCAGGATATTCAGTACCACAACAAAAATGGATACTGATCACCTTCTCCGGACCCCCTGAGCAGTTAGATGAACTTATCCTCAAAGTGACTTCGATAGGAAAGTGTGCCTTTTGTAAATCGCGAATCGAATCAAAAGGAATCTGTAAAAAATGTTACCCATGGGAAACATGAAAGTACATTCAGCCTCTTGATTCCAGAAATAGACGCTATCAAATCTGGGAATATCGAGCAGATTGCAAACAACTCCTCCCTCTGAATACAATCGCACATCGTACAAGTCACATTGAGTAACAGCTAATTCTGTCACAACGCAAAACTTCAAGCAGCCCGGCTGCGAAAAAAACAACCAATATCCAATATTGGTAGTGCGAGTGTAGAAAACTGGTAGTTTTTGATCTCTCGCGTCTAGTTCTTAGGGCTTGGTTCCAGTTGTTCGGTTTACTCCTGCAGTGGACGAGGAAATCCCCTCTGCTTTCTTGCTTTTAGCTTCGGTGAGGTGGATGTTTTGTGGGTTAGTAGGTTGTAATTTGTAGAGTGATTAGGGAGCTACGGGTTGCTGGGAAGTTTAGAGAACTGCCATGACTCCTGTCTGTGTAGGTACCTGAAAGAGAATAGTAAGGTAGTGGTAAAGGAATGAAGAGAGAATAAAGAAGAGAGTGAAGTAGCACCATAGAGACTCTGGGAGCTGGGTTAAGGCCGTATCGCTAACCATCCTTGCCTTTAAACAGGAGTTTACGTAGATAGCCACTCCCCCTCCTGCTCTATGTTCCCTGTCCCTGCGGAAGAGTTCCATGCCAGCAACACGCATCTCTTCGTCGGAGATGTCGCGAGAGCCAGGATTCGGTGATGAATATGATGTCGTAGTGCTGATGTTCACGCAGCGTCCTCATTTTGCTACCTTCCCTCTTAGCCCCCTAACGTTGCTGTACATACATATTAGAGTGTGCCTGATGAGAGGGGAGGTCTGGATGTGTATTTTCGGGGATGAGCGCTTACGTGGTTGATTTAGCCTCGCCAGTCCTCATAGGACTGGCATTGTTCCGTTTTTTTGTGTTTTGTTCTTAACTTGGGTGGGGGCTGTAGCAGTGGTGGCTTCTTTACTTGATGTATCTAACTCACTGGTCAGCGCCTGTGTGACGACCACTGACTCCAGAGGTCTTGGTGGTTGCCGTCTCTCCTCTTGCCTTGTGGGTCTAGGCTTACTTTCACATATACGTATTGAGCCACCCATGCGATCTTTCGCATTATACCATGCGTGCAGAACGTCTGTGAGGGAGGCATATGAGTCGAACTGGACGGCAAGTAGTCTGGGATTGGGTATGGTCTTCAGGTGCGCTGGCCTTGGCAGTCTACTGACGCTGTTGGCCGGTATACTGTTGAGACCAACTTTGGTTGAGAGCCATTGCCATTGTTGGACGTCGTGAAAGTACCGATCTTTGACCGAGCTGTCACTTGGCAATTCTGGAATCCCATGTACAACTATAGTGTTGTTTCTGTTGGGATTTCCAACCGCTGACTTTCTCTCCTCCTCTCTTATTGACCATGGCTTGTCAGGCCTGGCCCGAATTTTACAGGCATTAACAACGTCCGGTTGTCGCGAGAGGAGGAGTGTGTCTTCAGCCTCTTTGGCGGTATTTAGGGACACACGTAAAGGGGGTGGCTTATCTCGGGGTGCATGGCTTCCTCGAGAAAGGCGACACAAAGTTGCAGGGAGGGGAGGGAGTCCCAGCATCTGACAGTAGTCGGTCCACATTCGGCTGTCAAATTGTTCCCTCTCGACCAACAATGAGTCTGTCGATACATCGACGTTGAACAAAATGATCGAGTTGGTCCTCCTGTGACCTGGGTTCGTTGTGGGTGGCACGCCCGACTTCCCAATGGGTTTGAGTAATTCCACTGGTTGTTTCTCAGTCACGGTGTGGGGTGTTCGGAATGGGTTTCGTAGAGGCTTCGGCGGTCGATGTCTTTGGCCATGCGCTTGACGTCCCCTGGGGCCGGGTAGGGGTATGGAGACTTGACCTAATATGGTCCCCACGCGAGGTGGCGTGCCCACAGCTGGAGCTCTAGGTCTGTTTCCAGGTCTCTCTGTGTTATCCTTTGGTGTTAACCCTACTTTATTCGAGGATGCTGGTAGCTTTTGCGTGGCGGAGAGCATCTCCTTCAGGCTTTCTGTGCGGAGTGCGGGCATTTTCCTGCACTCTGGACAGATGTACCAGAACCACTTGCATGGTTGTCTCTTCATCAGCTTATAGTATTGTCGGGGGACTTTGGTATCGCAGTGGCAATGCGCCCATCGTTGACATAGGTTGCATGCAAATGCCTCATCGACTACCGAAACAACTTTGGTGCAAACACTGCAGCCATCGGGTGTCGTAATACAGCCTTCCTTCCATGAATAAGGTGCTACGGATTGTGGCGAACTGCTTGTGGCTGCCTTGTTCTGAAGCCTTTTACGTCGTCTTCTATTTCAGGCATGGTATGATCCTTGCTCAAGATAGGACTAGTTTGTGACGGGCTAGTGCTACTCTGTGTCACCTGTCTGATGGCGACTGGAATTCTAGAAACATGGGTTGGCCACTTCTTTAGAAGTTCGGTGTTCTGCCCTACCTCTGTTTGTCTTCTAGTACAGACTAGTGTGTTGTTTAGGGTGTTACTGGCCGTTTTGTGCACGACCGCGTTATCCGTGTCAAAGCTTCAGACCTAGCGTTTTGGGCAGACATGTCGCTATGATATAAACTTCTTGGGAAAACAAGTAGTTAACAACAATAAGAGGGTTGAAGACTGAATGCAGCAAAAGGACAGAATAGAAAAGGGAAGATAATTTATGTTGGCTCACCTTCAGACACTTGTCACTTGATCCTCTGCTCTTGACCAACGAGTTTAACCGTAAGCTCCAGATGCGTATGTATAACCAGGAAAGATATTTCCTGGGGAATGACCTCCGAGGAGAACCGAGAGCTAAGGCAGTTTGGCAGTTGAAACGCCCAAGAACCACTGACAGGAGGTAGACCGGTTGGTTCAAAGGAATAATAATGCCAATTTTCAACTGTTGAGGAGTGAGCTGACGAATGCGCAGGGGTGAGGTGCGTGGACGGACAGAAGTGCTGCAAACGTTCGATGTTTTTAGATTGAGTATTGCAAGTGGGAGTTTTTCATTGTGGAAAAATCCAAAAGCTGAGAGACGAGCGAAACACGTCAACCCGAACTGATTTCAAACCAAGTGGAGGAAACTTGCAGTTTTTGAGCTCGCTTCTAGGTCTTGAGGCTTAGTTCTTTTTTCGGTCATACTCCTCTGATGGTCTCAGAAGTCTTCACGTTTTCCTGCTTATAGCCTTGGAGGTAGTGTTTGTCTATTTGAAGGTGTTTTATTTGCAAATTGTAGCTTGGTCTGTTTAGAGGGGGGGCAACGGAGCTGCAACATTCATTTTCCAGTTTTCACTTATAAGGATAGTAGGCCAGTTGGCCTGTGTTAATCCTTGCAGAAGATATCTCTATGACGATCTAGTTTCTGCTTGAACGCGTTGACAGAAGGTGCTGATACTACTTGATGAGGTAAGGAGTTCCAGTAGTTGACAACATGATGGGAGAAAGGCAGATTCACGCTAAGTTGATTAGATCGCGGTCTTCGAATTTTCTTGCGATGCCCTCGGAGATAGTCAGTCCTAGCAAGGGAGTAAAAAAGATAGGACATATCAGTACCGAAGTCATTATTAAGAATACGAAATGCTAGTTTGAGTTCACCCCGTCTTCTACGGTAAGACAGTGGGAATAAATTTAGCTGATCTAGTCGTTCTTCATAGGACAGATTCGAAAGGCCTGCCACAAGCTTAGTTCCTTCCCTTTGAACACGCTCGAGTGCGTCAGCATTCTTTTTAGGCATGGGCTGGCCGCCTGAATGCAGTATTCCAAGTGAGGTCTGACGTAGACAGAGTATTCTAAACATGTCTTCATCAAAAAATTTGAAGGCCCTGTGGAGGGACCAAATATACGGAAGCCCTTTGCTACAGCTGCATTACAGCTTGTCGAGGTTTTCAAAGCATGACTAATGACGACACCCAAGTCTTTTATTTCAAGGACTGGAAGTAGTGGGATACTGGAAACAATTGCTATGACCAATGTGCATTATTGCACTTTTGCTAGGATTGATTTCCAAGCACCAACGTTTGGACCAACCTACTAGTTCATCTAAATCCGCCTGAAGTGCATACCTATCTGCATCACTGCGTATGGCTCTCCAAATCTTTACATCATCAGCAAAGAACAGTACTGAAGAGTTGAGCATTTTCGGAACATTCACATGCGACACTTTGTCGAATGCCTTACTGAAGTCCATAAACACGGCATCTATCGGCAGCTCGCAATCACACGCTGCAACCCATTCCTCCCTTGCGATAAGGAAGTTAGTTAGAAAGGTGTGTGCAGTACGAAAAACCGTTTTGCAGTGGTGCCAAAAGGTTGGTTGATTCCACATGTTAAAGTCTCCTGTCACGAATTATTTTTTCTAAAATCTTAACAACTATGCTAGTTAGACTCATAGGGCGATAGTTAGACACCAAATGGCGACTACCGGTCTTAAAGACTGGGCTGATTACGGTATCTTTCCAGTCTCTAGGGCAGCGAGTCTGAGTTGGGGACATATTGAAAAGATCAATGACTGGCTCAGCAATGATGTCTGTTAGCGAGGATAGAAGTCTGGGATGTAACTCATCGAGACCTGGGGATTTTCCAGGTTTAAGGTTAATGAGCAACTGTAAGACTCCTTACTTTGTTGTGGACACTATCCATTAGTGGAGCAGTGCTAACAACAGTATTTAGCACTTCATCGTCATGACCGACAGGGTAGACTTCACTAAAGTAATCCGACAGACTTCCCGCTTTGGACAGATTAGATTCCGCCAGACTATCGGACTTCTCATCCGTTGCCAGAGAGGGATTTCCGCCTTTTCTTTTGCCCCTCCTTCTGATGAATATGAACCGTCTTTCAGGATAATTTTGGCAATCTCTCACAAACCGTTTCACGTAGGACATTCCAGACTGTGTAATCAAAGTTTTTCAGAGATTACTGACTTCATCGTACCCAGTTTTAAATGTCTTCAGTCTACTTTCTGGAAACAAGTCCCACAAACGTTTCCTAATGTCTTTATTAAACCACTGAGGGCGATGTGAGGATCGAAGTCGAACATGGAATAAATGGCGTCGTTACCTTTTCAGATAGAGTTCTTAGCATATTCCATGCATCCGCTTCCAAGACCTAACAACCCGAAAAGGTC